AGCCAGAGGGCTTGGCCTGCATGCCCTGAGTCACAGCACCCAGGCATCTGTGTGCATCACGATATTCAATCATAAATATGAAGGACAGTGTGACAGACCAGGACAGAGACCATGAGAGAAAGGGAAAGCTTTGTGTCTTGGTACTTTTAATGACAGTTTTTTCCCGTGTGAACTCAGGACGCCACAGTCCTGTCTGGCGCTGGATTTGGCGGGTTCTGTAGCCAGCCCTGGCTGGGAGAGTCCGTCCTCAGGCCGAGGTGGGACTCAGGCTGTCATGGAGGAGATTTGGCACTCTCGGTCCTTCTCCCGGCCTGTCTGGACCCAGTCACAGGTGACAACACACCGAGGCACTCATGTCTTGCCTTGCATGGGGACGTGACACTGCAGGCTTGGGTGGTGTCTTGGTTTTGTTGTGTTGATCTGCAAAGTTAATCTGCACTTTGGAATTGTTTTGCTATAATCGTTGCCTCATGTTTTATGATGCTGTTCCAAAATGTAGACATTGAGGAAAGAGAGCCCCGCCGCAGCCTTCCAATACCCACTGGTCTACCTCTTCCACAGCCTACCCCGCCCCATCCTGTCAAGGGACAGCTGACTTTCTTCCCTTCGCAGTCCCTGGCCTGGGCTAGAATTCAGGTATCCCCCCGGCTCCAGGCCTCTGTATCCCCGGCTGACCTGCGGTACCGGCGTCTGCCGTCTGAGCTGCCGGCTGAGATGCTGGTCAGGTGGGGCGCCGCGCCCGCCCGCTCGGGCCAGGGGACTGGAGGGTGTGGGGGCCAAGGTCTCCTGCACGGGGCGCGGAGCGCCGCAGCGAGGCCTCTGCCCTCCAGTGTGGCGGTGGAGAGAGGGCGTGCAGGCCGCGGGCTCCCGGAATGTCTGGGTGCCCAGGGAGGGGTGCTGGGTGCTGCTGGAGGGGGAGCCTTGTGGGGGCTGGGAGCTGGGGCGGACAGAGCCCCCCGGCTTTCCGAGTGCCTCAGGCCCTGGGCTGGGGAGTCAGCCCTCCATCTGTCATAATGGGGACTGTTCAAGGCGGCTTCACCTCAGGAGGGGCATCAGGACTGACTTTCACAAGCATCATCTGGAGGCCGCGGGACATGTGGGCAGAAGGTAGGAGAACTGAGGCACGGAGCCTGCTGTGACAGCGCAGATCCAAAACGGGCAGTCGCCCTGACGACGGGAAGGAGGAACAGGTACCAGAAGGACAAGGAGATGGGGTCACGTAGTGCGTGATCCCACCCGGACGAGTCTCTGGGAGCCGTCAGGTCGGTAGAGACCGACAGCAGAGCGGTGGCTTCAGAGGCTGGGGGAGGGTGGGGGGCTTAGGGCTTCGAGGGCGACAGAGCCTCCGTTGGGGAAGATGAAGTTCTGGGGATGGTGGCGATGATGGTCATACAACAGAGTGAGTGTATTTAATCCTACAGAACTGATTGTACACTTAAAATGGTTACATTAATTTTGTGTTGGGCACTTTACCACGAACAACAGCAACAACCAAACCTGTAACATTCAAAAGAATAAATGGGAGAGAGGGTTGACGGGTGTGGGGACCTGCCGGAGCTGGGGGAGCCGAGGGGGGGTTCTGGGCTGGCCCCCAGGTGTCTGGCCTGGCCGGCTGATGGCAGCAGGGTGAGGAGGGGCTGCGGCGGCAAGGCGGCCACACGCAGGGCTGGGCTCATGGAGCCAGAGGGGCTCCCGGAGACGCGCCCGGCAGAACCTGGGCCGCAGAGACCACGGGAAGGTCCTCAGCTCATCACTGGTCGCTGACCCCCGCCTCGGAGGTAGCCCCCGGGCGGGTGTGAGGTGTGAGCCGAGGGCGGTGGCCAGGCGAACAGGCGGCCAAGAGGAGCCTGTCACCAGGCAGCCTGAGGAGAGGGGAGAAGGGAAGCAGGCGGATGGGGACAGTCTGGTGTCCCAGACCCAATGGAAGGGAGGGGCGCAGGGATCGCGGGCTTAAGTCGCATGTGGCCAAAATGTCTCCCCAAAGAGAAGACGAAACAAAACCAGAGGAGAGAGGCTGTGAGGAATCAGCTTCATTTGTGAATCCACCTCCCTTTCCTGTGGCTGAAATAACAAGATGGTGTAACTGGAAAATAATCATTTGAACTTGTGACTCAGCTCTTCCCGACCTCGGGGAAGTGCGGTCCGTAAATCAAGATGCGGTTCCAGCACCTCCTGCCCAAGTGTCCCTCGGGGCAGACACTGGAAGAGCCATCAGCCGACGTGACTGCGCCCGCCTCCTGGGAAAGGTCTGTTGGTCCTCCGGGGACTGCTTCCAGAGCGTCCGTTCCCGAAGCTTCCTGAGGGGTGGCCTCAGTGCTTGACCCGTTCATTTTACCGTCCATCCTGCCTAGTTTTGCTCCGGCACAGGTGGTAAATTCTCTTTTTTGCATATTTAGCAGCAGCTTAAGGTTCCTGCCATTGGGAAGCTGGGAGGCCAGACATGCCATTCATGTAAAATCACACAGGGTTTGGAAGACTTCCATTTTTAAATGTGTTTTAAATTGTCCTTTTCTTTCTCTCACCAGCTCTCGTTCAGGAGCCGTCTGTAAGGCAGGCAGCAGCATCACCCCTTCCTGCCCATCCCTCCCCTCTTGGGTTCCCAGCCCTCCGAGATCTTTCCACTTTAAAGATGGGGATGCAGAGGCCCCGAGAAGAGAAGGACTTGCCCCAAGTTCCCAAGACACTAGATCAAAGCCCTGATGTATTCGTGCCCAGCTGACACCGTCCCCAGGCGCAGGGCTAGGCAGCAGGGCCATAAGGATAAGACACAGCTCCTTACCTGGGGGCATGGCAGTCTGAGGAGAGGGCAGGGGCTGCAGGGGGAAGGGAGCAGCCCCAGCAGTGGCAGTCGCCATGGGAGCCTCATAATAGCACGTCTGATAGGTGCGGTGCCCATGCCAACCACGCCCCAGCCCCAGGCTTTTGCCCCTTACCTGCTTGCTGCAGGCTCATCCTCACAGCACCCCAGGGGCTGCCCTGACTCAGAGCTTGAGTGCTGTGATCCTCTCACTGTGCAGATGAAGAAACTCAGTCCAGTGGCTATCAACCTTTTATTTCAGTAGGTGAATCCTTTTGTCAAGAGCAATCTGTGGAATCCTCATGAATCAGGCAGTACTGGAAGCACCGTTGCTTAGCCTCTCCCACTTAAACCCCTTGCGGGGTTCTGGGAGACTGAGGTCTCCCCAGAGCACAGTGTAGACACCACCCCCGGGGACTAGGTTACGAGCTGAACTTCCTGGTCCGTTTATACTCATTTTACAGATGAGCAAGCAGAGGTCCGGGGAGGGGAGGGATTTATCGAGGGTCACCCAGCGAGTTACCAGCTCAGCTAGCACTCCAGCCAAAGTCCTGTGAATCTCAGGCTGTGTCCATCTGTGACATCTCTTCTACCAGGAAACAGAGGCTTTTACTAACAGCCATAAAATACCCTCTCTTCCAAGCCATCATTTAAAGCCGAGCTTTCGGTGGGCTCTTGTTAACACGGTGTTTCCACCTCCCTCCCGCCCTGTCTCTCCCCGACCTCCAGTTTCCACACGTCACTGAGCACAGGAGAAGAATCTCACTTTAGAGAAACCACCCCTGGGAGCCAAGTGGATGAGTGTGGCCTGACGCCGACAGCTTCATGGTTTACCTTAGGCGTTCTCCGTTCCTCTCAGCTTATTTAATGAAATGCCTGGTTGCTCTGTTCACAGGACACTTGACATTAGAAAGGGCCTTTTAAATCCTTTGAAACAGGATTTTTAAATTCGCTGGCACCTCGGAGTGTGTAAGTGGAACAGTAACTTTCCTGTGTGCGCTGAGACAAGACTTCTCAGGAGCGTTAATGGTTGCAGCCCTCAGGAGGGCATCCTTGGAGGTACCTACCAGCCGGCCCCACCCCTTCTTTGGCAGGCCCCTAGCTGCCACCTGCGTGCCTTCTGCCTCTTCCCAGCTCCTTTCTCCCCCGACTGCTTTGACGTGGATTCCTCTCTCCCTGTCTGTTCCCTTGTCCCAGTTTGTCCCTTCTCCGCGGTCCATCCATGACTTTTTCTAAGGATTTTAGTGCAAACCATCCAGGAAAATGAGCCAAGCAGCTAAGGACTCAAGCATGGGCAGCTGCCGGGGCCCCAGATCTGTCTCAGCTGGTCCTCTCCCCGAGCCCCTTCTTGGCCCTCATGTGACCCAGAGGTGAATCTAAGGCTGCGTTTCCCACACTTTGTTCCGTGAGACTGCGATTCCAGGAGAGGCTGCTCAGAGGTGTGGTTTCATGGTCCAGAGGGCAGGGCAGCTCTGCCTGCACCCTCACCAGCGTGGTGACGGACATCTGCCGCAGCAAGCTCACCGACGGGTTTGAGAAGTCGGGGGGAGTCCAGAGTCCTGTGCAACTTTGTCCAACCCGGGACCTGTCTGAGCACCAGGAACGTGTTTTGCAGCCCACCTGAGCGATGCTAGTTTGGAGATGTCTCTGTGATGGTCTGGAAGCGTCTGAGCCCTTCACTCGGGTCCTCTTGGCCCCGAGATGGGAATCACAGGGCCTCTCCTGGCTCCCTGCTCAGGAAAATCCAAATTAGGTTATTCTCTGAAAGCCTTCAGGAAGGGTTGTTTTTTTCCATCTATACCAGAGCATTGTCAGTTGCTTGTGCTTTCTTTGGAAACAAATAGAAATGAATTGGGGGGGGTGCCCATTTATGGTCTGAACACTGCAATCTTGGGGTCTGGTCAGAGGAAGACATCAGGTCAAGCCGAGCTATGCTTAAAAAAAGGGATAGCACTGGCCTTTTCTGTATTTGGGAAGCAAGTCCTTTCTTATCAAGCCAGCTGTCACACACCCTGGCTTCTCCTCCAAATAGGCCCACACAGGCACGGACTTGCACTAATAGTGTGGGTCTCTGCTTTCTTCCTGAAATGGAGGCTTCTTCTGGTAGCTGAGTCAACTTTGGTTTTTGTTTATTTTTAATTACTTTGTTTTAGATTAACAATTACTCTCAGCTTTTTGATTGATAAGTTGGTTTTTTTCCTAGGTTTTGTTTTTCTCTACTCTGGAAAATTCCATCAGTCGTTTCACAGATGAGCCACGGGTTTTGTTTGTATTTGTTTGCACTGGAGTCTGAAACCACAAACTGCTGCAAGAAAGGCGATGCTGATTGTATTAGTTGCTATGGTTGCCATTAATGAAGTACCACACACTGAGTGATTTAAAAAGCAGAGATTTATTGTCTTAAAGTTCCAGAGGCCAGACATCCAAGATCAAGGTATTGACAGGGTTGGTTCCTTCCAAGGGCTGAGGGTCTGTTCCAGGCTTCCCCCCAGGGTCTGGCGGCTTGCTGGAATCTTTGGTATTCCTCGGCTTGTAGAAGCATTGCCTCTGTTTCTGCCTTCATCTTCACGTGATGCTCTTCTTGTCTGCCTGTCTGTTTACATTTCCCTTTTTCATAAGGACACCAGTCCTATTGAATTAGGGGCCCACCCTTCTCTGGCATGACCTCACTGAACTTTAATTACATCTGCAACACCCCTCTTTCCAAGCACTGTCACATTCTTACTTGGAACATGGTACTGGGTTACTGAGGTGGGGTGGGGAGGTTAGAGTTTCAACGTAAGAATTTGGAGGGGATACAATTCAGTGTTAGGTGAGAGGTGGGGTCCAGTGACAGGGATTCTGAGTCGAGGCCTAAGCCATCCCTCAATTTCTTTCTTGATAAAATGGTTTTAGTTAAACTCAATTTACAGGGTGTGGCACCAGGATTGAATGAGTTCTCAGGTGTGGAAGCGTCCTGGTGATGAAAGTAGCAGAGACGGGATCCAGACACAGGTGCCAAGTACCCCTGTGCTGTGGGGAACGCGCAGTAGGCATCTCCAGCAAGGAGGACAGCTGGGAAGTGGCAGACTTGGACACCCTTTTCCCAGAGCCCCTCCCTCCCATTATTCACTTCCTCTCTTAGCCAGCTCCCTCAGAGGTGAAATGAGAGGTCTGGACAAGGAGGTCTCCTTCTGGCCATGAAGTCAGGGGATTCTGTGAAAAGGTGCGGGTGCAGGGGCTAGAACACTGCAGGCTTGGAACACAGCAGATCTGGTTCCAGTGGTGGTTCTTCGGTCTCTCCATAGTGTGATTTGTGAGTCCCTCAACCTCTCTAAACTCAACATCCTCATCTACAAGATGGGAATGAATGCCTGCTGCAGAGGTTAAATTATTAATAGGATGTCCTTGGGAATTACTTAATCACAGCCTGGTGTATGGTAGTATAAGTTAGCTATTAGTGTCAGCTGTTCTTCGCGAGGATTGAATGAGATGGTCTGGGGAAAGAGCCTGCATACAGCAGGTGCTCAATGAACCACTGATGCTCACCCTGCTTTTAAGATAGGCCTTGGCAGGATGTCCAGCCTTCATGTTTTCCGTAAGGGTATATAGGGTGGAGAGTTGTACAGAAAATATTTGAACTACTTGAAGAATGAAACACTTTTCAGGCACTCTTGGGCCATTTATAATCATCTATTACTTGTAACAGATGGCCATGCCAATTACAACAGTTACATTTTGTTAAACCGCATGCCCTCAGGACTTTTACCTTGCACAGTTTATTAGAGAACTAATCCAGCTTAATTCGGGATTCCATTATAGTAATTATTATCCTGACAATTCATAAAACATGTCCAGGCCTCCTTGTGAGTGACAAGCATCTACTTGCTCTGAGAATGAATCCAAGAAGGATCTTTCTAAGATTTTTCTCTTTCCAGTAGGTCAGCACAGAAAGTTCTTTCACAATGTCATACAGACGAGAACTAGAGAAATACCGTGACCTGGATGAAGATGAGATCCTTGGAGCCCTAACAGAAGATGAGCTGAGGACCCTGGAAAATGAGCTGGACGAGCTGGACCCCGATGTGAGTAGGCGCTAAAGGGGGCCCGTGGCCACACGTGCAGGACGGTGACGCTCACCGCCTGGGGGAGGGCAGGCTGACCGCCTGCAGTACCATTTCTGCTTTCCTTCTACGGCAGCAGCTCTAGAGTCATCTTGCCTTTGTGAGGGTGTGTGTGTGCGTGTATGTGTGTTGTGCTAGTCATAATTCTCTAATAGAACAAATAGGATATATAGATAGATAAATAGATTTAGATATAAAGAAATTTATTATTATAAGTAATTGGCTTCCATGATGATTGAGACTGACAGGTTCCAGGATCTGCAGTTGGCAACCTGGAGACCCAGGACAACAGAAAGTGTTGTTCTAGCCTGAGTCCAAGGACCTGAGAACCAGGAGAGCTGACGGTATAGTTTCAGTCCAGTAGCTGGCAGCCCCAAGACCCAGGAAGAGCCAGTGTTTCAGATCAAGTCCAAAGGCAAGAAAACAAAACAAAAGCAATGACCCAGCTCAAAAAGGTCAGGCAGAAAGAAACTCCCTCTTGCTGGTAGGAGTTTCAGCCTTTTTGTGGTACATGTATTCAGACCTTCAACTGATTGGATGGGGCCCACCCACCTTAGGGAGGGCCAAATGCTTTCCTCAGTCTCCCGATTCAAGTGCTAATGTCATCCAGAAATACCCTCACAGGCACATTCAGAATCATGCTTAGCTAAATGTTTGGGCAGTCTGTGACCCTGTCAAGTTGATGCATAAAATGAATCATCACATGTCCACTTGTGGTCAACTTGGCACCGATACACATCTTTTTAAATCATACTTATCTCCATATAGGACAATAACAAGGTCATAATTCTGCCCAATGTGATACAACTATCCTGGGTACCTGCCAGAAGAAGTCAAGTCCTTGAATAATGTTTACTTTTCTCCTTGATGGCCTTAAGCTTAATCCTATGATACAAAATTAACCATACTTAAATGCTACCATATAAAATTGGTACATGCTTTGTGACATGTTCAGAGAATAATGGAAGAAAACAAAGATATTTACTTAATGCATACACACATACATTGACTCACACATACACAAACATGTTCATAAAAAATACAGAGGAAATGCTCATAACAGTATTGTCCTCGTTTGTCTAACTGATCACGTGGTGATAGCTGGTGTTTATAACTGCCTCTTCTCCTACCCATTCTCTGCTCCCGTGGCCTTCAGCAAGCAGCTCCGCTGGCTCTCAGTCTTTGCCTGATGGAGTGAATCTACTGAAGGGCCTGGACCATCCGTAGTCCTGCCTGGATTGAGTTATTATAGTTTTCCATTGACTTTAATCCCTGGGCCGTGTAATACTGAGAAAGCCCTATAGAGATACAAGGAATCCCTTGTATTTCAGGGGATGCCCTTCTTTACCACCCTTCTGGAGCAGCAGCCTGATTTTCCCCTCAGTAATCAACACACATCACCCCAGCCAGCACAGAAATTCCCCTTCTGCCTATGCATTCAGAGACATAACAAGGAGCCGCAAAAGTGGCAGTTTTAACTTCCAATCCCATGGAGTCATTGTGTGTCTCCTGGTAGAAGTATTCCTCCCTTTGGAACGAAGACCTTGAGGCCAGCAGAACATAAGGTCTTAGGATCAGGAAGCAAAACTTGTGCCGGTGGGTCACTGGGGCACCGGTTGTGATAGTGAGTGGGTGGTGGTTTTTTAGTCACTCAGTCGTTTATGACTCTTTGCGACCCCGTAAGCTACAGCAGGCCAGGCTTCCCTGTCCTTCACCATTTCCTAGAGCTTGCTCAAATGCATGTCCATTGAGTCAATGATGCCATCCAACCATCTCATCCTCTGTCATCCCCTTCTCCTCCTGACTCTAATCTTTCCCAGCATCAGTGTCTTTTCATATGAGTTGGCTCTTCACATCAGGTGGCCAAAGTATTGGAGCTTCAGCTTCAGCAATAGTCCTTCCAATGAATAATCAGGATGATCTTGCAGTCCAAGGGACTCTCAAGAGTCTTCTCCAACACCACAGTTCAAAAGCATCAATTCTTCAGCGCTCAGCTGATGTACTCTGCATAGAAGTTAAATAAGCAGGGTGACAATATACAGCCTTGATGTACTCCTTTCCCAGTTTGGAGCCAGTCCATTGTTCCATGTCTGGTTCTGACTGTTGCTTCTTGACCTGCATACAGGTTTCTTAGGAGGCAGGTAAAGTGTTCTGGTATTCCCATCTCTGAGAATTTTCCATGGTTTGTTGTGATCCACACAAAGTCTTTGGTGTAGTCAGTGACGCAGAAGGAGATGTTTTTCTGGAACTCACTTGCTTTTTCTATGATCCAGTGCATGTTTGCAATTCCTGGATCCCTGTGCCGACCCTTGACTCCTGGGCCCGTGAGTCCTGGTCGTGGGAGAAGCAGCGGCACATCCTGGACACTGAATCAGAGCGTGCACGGACTCATAGAGATCCTTGCCCTGGCCCTGCAGGGTTTCACCGCCTGGCTGCGCTGTAACTGAGTTTTCAAAAGCCCTACCCACCATTCCCTCAAGCCAGCTGCTTCAGGGTGGTAGGGAATGTGTCGTGGCATGACTTAAGTGAGAAGCAGAGGGCTTCCTGGTGGCTCAGATGGTTAAGAATCTGCATGCGATGTGGGAGATACGGCTTCGATCCCGAGTTTGGGAGGATAACCTGGAGAAGGGAATGGCAACCCACTTGGATATTCTCGCCTGGAGTATTCCATGGATAGAGGAGCCTGGTAGGCTGTAGTCCATGGGGTTGCAGAGAGTCAGACACAACTAAACAACTAATATACAAAGATCTAGAGGAATCCCTTCCGCTGATGTCTTTATCTTTGCATTTCATAAGTAGTGCATGTAAATGTATTTAAGCTCAGAATTTGCTTCCGCAGCCAGCTTATGGCATCACAAGACAGGAAGCTCACTGGTCACATCTGTGGCTTGGCCAGTCACCACAGAGCTGCGACAGAACCAAGGGAGGGGGCCCCGAGGTGGCCTGCTGCACTCTCGTTGTATCTGTACATCCTGGGTACCCCGGCTGATGACCAGTTCAGAGAAGGTACAGAATGAATATTACTGAATTAAGTAAATTTTCCATTTGATATACTTTTATTAAAAATGGGATATTTCATATCTTTTTTAAAAAGCTGTCACTCTTCAAACCTAGTTTAACAGTGATCCGTCAGTAAATACTACTGTACCGTTTCGCTAACCCCGAAGTAGCCACAGCCAGTGTAGAAAGAGTGTAGGTTAGCAGAGAAGATGCAGGACAAGAGCGTAGATTCTCCAGGGGCAGCCCTGGCGGTGTCCCTTACCTTCACATCACCGTGAGCCTGTTGCTGTCCTTCAGACCTTATTGCCCCGGTCCATGGAATGATGGAGCCTCACTGGCCCCATTCAGGGCTAAGTCTCCATGAGCTTATAGACTGGTCCTACCTCCAGATTTGACTAAATGTCGTCTTTTAGATAACCTAGCATCCTGGTCTGGGGGTGCTGAGTTTTAGGCCCCACGGAGTGACAGACCCCTCCGGGAACGTATCCTCTGCTTGCTCTTCACAACCTCTTGCCCACACCTACATCCAACCAGGGGCAGATGGTCCCCGAGGTGAGGCCCCTGGGGTTGGCCTTCAGGCGCTCAGCCGAGCAGGGAGCGGCCCGGTGAACCACACCCCCCGTGGAGGCACGCAGAGGGCTCGGGGAGGGGACGGGCTCCGCCGGGAGGAGGCTTTACAGAGCAGGTGCCGCTGAAACTGGGCACTGGGTCTCTAAGCCATGAAGAAAAGCGAAGAGCTCCGTGCTGAGTGAAGGCCGCAAGCAGAGGCTCGGGCACAGAGCACGGGCGGAGCGGGTGTAGGCGGCGTCCCGGCGGAGGGCCCACCGAGCCTGGAAGGGGGCTAGACCTGGCGGGACAGGGAGCTGAAGGCAGACTAAAGACTGTGGATTCTCTCAGCAGCCCAGGGAGTTCCGAGGACAGAGCGGTGGGTTTGCTGACAGAGATCTTTCCTGAAGATCAGCAAGGGCCCTGCCCTTCTCTGCGACCCTTCCACCATCTTGCAGAATCTTTGCTGCTCCCAGCGTGAAGCGCAGACCCCCCGGGAAGCCCGCGAAGCCTTCCGCCTCTGACTCTCCAGGCTGTTGGACTTGCCCTGAGTCCCTAGACGGAGATGTGTTAGGATTAGGCTGTGGCTGCAAATTGGATGCGTGATGACAAGGTTCAGGGCCAGACGTCAGACCTTGGAGTAGGCAGAGAGAGGAACCCTCTCAGAGCAGAGCCCCTGAGAACCGTTTGAGCCTCAGCTGGGAGCTCCATTTCCCCTTCCAAACTGGCAAACGGCCCCACTCCTAATGTCAGAGTATCTGGCCCCAGAAGCATATTCCCAGGGCCTCTGTGCCTTGCCACACCCGAGCCCTCCTCGCAGGTGGTTAACAGAAAGGTATCCTGTGAACACAGGTGGGATGGGGAACCTGGGGCACAGAGAGCTGACTGTCTGGCCCCGCGTCACAGGACCAGGGCGTGGAGACTCGGATTTCAGGCAGGCTCCAAAGCGCGCCACCACCCCCTCTGGCAGGAGGAAGGTACAAGTACACTTGAATTTTGGAGTAGGGTTGGCAATCCGAGACCTGTGATCCTCATACCACTGTGGTTTCAAGTGGACATTTTCAAAGACCGCTTTCTCTCTAAGTTCAAGGAAAAGAGACGAGAAATCAGAGCAAGGATAGGAGATAACTGAGACCAGTGGGGTTTTTGTCTCCACCTCACAGTTGGCCCTTCACGGAGGTGCCTCTATTACCTGATTTGCAAGTCAGGATGGGAGCTTTGAAAAGATCTAGTGGGGCTCCACTCTTGCTGAGAGCACAAACATTCCAGCTTGAGTTTCACCCGACCTCCACCCATGTTCTGAAATCACAGCTCAGGGAGAGGCTGAAGGTATGCAGACCACAAGAGGCCTCCAGCCACGGCCTGGAGGGGACGCTGAGGCCGGCGGGTGTCCAGCCCTCCAACTCACAGAGCAGAACCAGAGCCCAGAGAGAGGAGGGAGCTTGCATTGGTCGCACGTCTGAGGAGAACCAGCCCAGGTCCCGGGCCCGCTGTCCTCTCTCTCATATTCTCTACCCTTCCTGTTTTAATTCTGGTTTAACAAGGGTTAGATGGCACTTTTTATGTGCAGACACTGTTCTTACATTTTGAAAATATTAATTCATTCAACTGTCGTCCTAATCCTGTGCTACAGGCATTGTTGTCATCCCCATTTTGCAGATGAGAAAACTGAGAGGTGAAGCAACTTGTCCACAAAACTGCAGTGAGGTGGTGGCGGAACCATGACACAGCTCTGAGTTCACTCTTAGCCCCAACACTATAAGGCTTCGCTGGAGTCCTCAGGAAGATGGTTTGAGCCATGCATGTGCTCCGGCTTTATAGTTGGGGGGGTACTGTATGAAAAATTGTCCCCTTTCCTTCCTAGAGACAACCTAAGATGCAGAGATCCTTATTCAGTCCTGGCTCTGCTCCCAGCTTAGGCAAGTGCTTTTCCCTCTCTGGATCTCGGTTTCCCATCTGCAAAATGGACACAGTTGGGCTAGATGCCCTCTGACACCCCCTCCAGCTCTAAGCATCTCTGATTTTATGAGCAGTTGTTGGCAGTCTTATGACCTGAATTCAGTTAACAGGTATGTTTGCAGTGATGCAATTGTTAAGGCCCAGTGTCATGTGACACAGTAGAGTATGCAGAATTGGAAAGCTGCTTTATTTGCAGCAGAAGATTCCAAACTTGTGCACAGTAAAAGAAAAAAAAAAGAAGTCCTCAAAACTTTCTTAGTCTGCAGCCTGGAAAAACTCGAGCTTATCATGAGATTGTTGCACTTGGACTCCCACGGGAGAGGAATGCTTCATGTGCTAAAAGTATCTGCTGTGACTGATTCCCCAAGGGGCCCTGTCCTTTCTTGTCTCTCTGGGGTTAAGTGGATGCTGCTCTGAAGCTGAGCCAGCTGCTCGGTTCAGACTGCCTTTGTACCAGACGGAGGGGAAAATGAGCAATGTATAGTGATGTTTGAGAATGACAGGTCACACCACGACTTGAGCAGGGTACAGTGTATGAGTTCCTGGAGCATCAATAGATAGTCGACATTTACTGCGACAGAGCCCTGCATGGCTTATCTTCTTTAGTCCTCCGAAAGCTTTGGTTATCAGCCACATTCTGCTGGTGGCTCACACAGTGAAGAAGCTGCCTGCAATGTAGGAGACCCAGGTTCAGTCCCTGGGTCAGGAAGGTCCCCTGGAGGAGGAAATGGCAACTCACTCCAGTATTCTTGCTGGGAAATTCCATGCACAGAGGAGCCTGATGGGCTACAGTCCGTGGGGTCGCAAAGAGTTGGGCACAACTGAACGACTAACACACACACACACATTTTAAAGGTGGGGAAACTGAGGCTTAGAGAGATGAAGTAGCTTGCCCAGGAGTTGGGACTCCAGCCCAGACAGTCAGACCCAGTAGCCTGTGCTGTTAACTCCCACCTCCAGTGTGGGCCTGTGGGATGAGCCTGGAAGAGAACTTGGAGAGCAAAGTTGGGAATTACCAGCAAATTATTTTCTCTAATTCAGTTTCTTTTGAAGTTGTTACATTATTTTCACATAAACACAAATCTTAGAAAAAAAAAAAACTACCAGCCTAAAGAATTTAACTATACATGTTACTTGTTAATGAGACTTTGAGGAAAAGGAGTAATATTTTTTAGTGTCTCAGTAAAAGGATCAAAATATTTGCGTGAAAGAAGGTAGAGATAATCCCAGACTTATAAAGAAATTGGATCCTTCAAGTGGATTCTGAAGTCTGTAGTTGGGAACCTGTGACACATTATAGAGACAACAGTAGAAAACAGCAGGCCCCTGCCAGCAACAGTAATTTAAAAACTGCAACTATTCTCTGTTGAGATCATCTCACGTGCCAGGTGCTGGCCTGTGTTTTATGGGACTTGTCTCATAAAATCTCCACGAGGATTCTATGAGATTGATCCTTGCAGGTTGGGGTTAAAACCACTATAAGAAAAGGAAATGGATGCCCGAAATCACACAGCTGGTAGGCGACAGACCTGCCTCCCCGAGCCCATAAGGTGTTCAGAATTCTGGGGCCATGAATTGCAGGGAGAAAGGATGGAGGAGAAAACCTTTAGAACTGTAGGATCTCAGAATTAGATGATCTAAGCCCCACTCCAACCCCTGCCTGTACGAACACAGCGCAGGTAAAAGAAACCCTGGTTTGCAGAGTTTCTCCTGCACACGTGTCACTCGCCTGGTGCTTTCTGTAGTTCACTGAAGCATTACTCCTGAGATCAGGAGTATTATCGCCACTGTGGAGATGAAAAACCAATATAATAACAGCAGCCTGAAACCCAGGGGAGGGAAGGGACTTGTTCAGGGCCACACTGCAAATCAGCCGCTGCACCAGGACAGAATCCTGGGACTCCTGGTCACACTGCATGGCTTCCAACCACAGTCCACAAAATCATAAGCCCTCCCTATTCATGGCCCACATCCTATCCTATACACCAGAAGACACTCTTGGCCATGCAGGAAGCAGCCATGTCTGGTCCACGGGGCTGTGATTCTCCCTTGTAACACAAACCAGCAGATTCACAAGCCCAGGACAGAAGTAAACAGTTGAAATGGAAAGAAATAAATCTCTGCTCTAAAAATAGGCACACATCCTTAGAAACACTGCCGGCTGCGCACGGAGCCAAGGGTGGGCCTGGCGGGGTGAGGCCTGGTGTCCCTGTGTCCCCAGCCCACCCTCGGTCTGCTGGCACCCTGACCACCTCCCCGCCCTCCTCTGCACCCCGCTACTTCCCCCAGGCAGGCCTCCAGTCTCCCCGAAACCCCCTCTTCACCGCCTCTGCTTCTGGGCAACCTCTTGGATCTGGAGCCCTTTATTCTCAAGTCAGAATCCTCCCATCTCTCAAGGCCCAGCCTCTCCACTCCTCCCTTGGGTACCCTTCCTGACCCTGCCCCTCCACGCTCCCAGTGAAGCACCTGCCCCACTAAAGAGGGCCCCCCTGAGCTGTTTCCCTTTTGATTGTGATGTTTTTAATAGGCAATATGTTAAACATATAGTAGTATACAGAATACACCTGTGTTCCCATTATCCAAATTTCACAAATGTAAACATGTTGCTTTATTTGATTCCAATCACCCTTAAAGAAAAGTGATGGTAAAGTTTTAACCCGGCCTTCCCACCTCCCCCAGTTTCTTCGCCATCTCTCTCATTCCCTCACTTTCTGCTCAAGAGACAGCAAACAAAGCCCCCACAACATCAGGGAGGTAATATAATGAAGGAAGGAAGCTGGGCCAGTTTTCTTGAGGCACATGGCCATCTTGGGTCGTTTCTTACTGTTCTGCTCTTGAAAAGGTGGTGGACGTAAGGCAGTTCTCATTTACCACGTCACCCTCAAGGAATAGAACCAACAGCAGAGCCAACGATTGTTAACTGCTTGTTGGCCTCTGTATCAGAGGCAGTAGGGAGTGGTGGGGACTGAGGCAGGCAGGAGGGTTTGTGTTTGACCAGACGGCACCTGCTATTCCAGTCCACCAGCTGCTCCCCGGTACTGTTACATCATCTAAGTCTTCAAGAAATGCTGGAAATCTGATTGTTTATGTGCAAGTTTCCTATCTGAAAATGTTGGCCAGCTCATTCAATTATACAGACAAAAGCCACCAAGTTTTGCCATTTGATTGGACTCTAGACCTCCCCGTTTCCAATTTTGATGACTCACATGACAGATTTTTAGACAGATGAACAGACAGATGGAAAAGTACCTAGCCCAGTGTCTGGAACATAATAGGTGCTTGATAAATGTTTATTGAGCGTGAATATATGACCTGCCCACTGGAATCTAGGGATTTTGCAGTTCAGAGCCACATTGTACCAGCACAGACGTAGGGCAGCCAGGTACAGCTGTGCAGGTTGCGCACTGCAGAACTCCAGGAACCACTGCTCATATAAACCAGAGAACGTATAACGCCCGTGGAGTTGTGCAGTGCGCAGTCTGCACGGTCAGAAGCTGCTGCCCTCACAGGGTTTCCCCGTAATGCGGCGCCTTTTCAGTTGAATGGAAGTGAACAGTTATGCCCTGTGGTGACAGAACTGATCGCCGTCATCTGCTTCTCATATAGAGTTCAAACCTTGATTCTGAAGTTTCAGAAATGATGTTGACCGTTTTACAGAAAGGGGAGTCAAGGTCCAGCAGCACCAGTGCCCTGTGTGTGGCCTCAGAGTCCTGGGATGAGAGCCCAGGCTGTCAGTCGGAATGCAGTTTGTCTGTAAGTAATAGAGATTCAAAATAGCATAGCGTAAGCAGTGGTAGCTCAATCAGCAAAGAATTTGCTTGCATTTCAGGAGACCTGAATATCCCCTGGAGGCCTGGAAGATCCCCTGGAGAAGGAAATGGCAACCCACTCCAGTGTTCTTGCCTGGAGAATCCTATGGGCAGAGGAGCCTGGTGGGCTACAGTCCACGGGCTCGCAAGAGTTGGACACGACTTAAGAGACTAAACCACCACCAAGAGGTGTTTTATTCGTCTCTCAAGTACGCCCAGAGGTGGGAAGTCTAGGGCAGGTTCGGAGCTTAGGTCCCCAGACTTCCCAGAGTCCCAGGTAGCATTCAGCTCATCTTCCTTCCATCGCTAAGGTGTAGCCCCCATTCTCATGGTCCCAAGTGGTGGCCATAATCACTGCAGTCCAGACATTAGAATAGAGGGAAAGGGTGGGAGGTGGGGAGAAAAGGGAAGAAAGCCATTTTTCAAGTATCTTTTAAGGAAAGTTACTGGAAATTGCCACTGGACATTTCTCATACTGGGACCCAACCTAGCCACAGGGGAGCCTGGGAAATGTAGTCTTTTACCTGGGTGGCCATTGCGCAGCTCGGCGCAGAGTGCTTCTGTTACCGCAGAGGGGAGACGTGATACTGGGGACTATTTGAAGCCTGTCGCTGTGAGTTTGCCAGTTTGATGGCTGATGCTCTGCTCCCCGAAAGTTCCGAGGGGAAGTGAGAGGAACTCACTTCCGAACCAAATCCAGATCCCTGAAGGAAACATTACAAAGGTCTTACTCCCCAAAATCTCCATCAGTAAGTTTTGGCCCCATGGTGGGCACCCCCACTCTAGCACCTTTCATAATGTTTCCCCTTCCCCAGACCTGCATGGGGCAGCAGTTGGCTAGATCAGCAAACATCTCAGGGTAGCAGGTGTGATGCTGACCTGAAGGGCATCTAAGAAATACCATCTTTTCCCTGCTGGAGCGTCAGTGCTGTGTGATTCTGGACAATTCAAAACACATTAGCACCTATTACTTGGGATTGGGGATTTAGAGAAGACTAGGATACATCTCAGCTGGCCTTTGAGGGGCACTCAGTCCCTTTGGGGAGAGGGATATGGCATAAATGTGCTCCAAGACAAATTAGAAGGAGCATTATATAAGAACTGGCAAGATGCCTCCGTGTGTTTGGAAAGAGAATCACCAGATCGGTGTGGGGAGCACTGCAAAGGCTGGACAGGGTGCCGAAGAGAAGAGCTTTGAAGGATGAATGCAGTGGGGGAGGAGAGGTGGAATTCCAGGCAGAGGGCACAGCTTGAGTGATGCCCTGGCAGGGTGATGGTGTGGGGCGAGGCTGCGGAATGCGGAGCAGCCTGGAGTGGCTGGAACATGGAATACTTAAAGCGAGAAGATGGGGAGGCTGGAGTCAGTTGAGGTCAAATCAGGAAAAAGCTCTCCATGCCAGCCTGATGAGTTTGATAATGATTCCATGGGTTAGTGGAGGTGCTGAGTATCTGTGACTGTGTTGGGGAGTGACCTGGTCAGGCACACAAGTTGGTGCGGTACCCTCGCCAGCCTGAGGCTGCCCTGATGCTTCAGCAGTAAACACCATGGCTTGAGCTGGGCTGGTGTCTGGGACAGAGATGATTCTGAACCCTGTAGCCTCCGGCTGCTTCCTCTGACGAGCCAGGCACCCTCCTTCTGCCAAGCCTCCGTGCTGTGCCCTCTGTCCCCCTGTAACCTCCCTCTTCTCTCCTCTTCACCTGGCTGCTTCCTGCCTGTGCCCTGGGACCCATTCAGCTCAGGAGCCCCTCCTGCAGGAAGCCCAGGGGGAAGGAAGCTGCTCACACTCGTGTGTGTCTCCCGACCTGAGAGGCTCTGTGGAGTGTGGTCACTCATTCATTGTCTCAGGATGCCCAGTGTCCACCAACAGCAGGGAGATGGGACATCTTCCTTGAACGTGAGGCAGAAAAGGAGGATGAGGAGAATGCCCAGAGGGACAGGGTCAGCCCTGCCTTGTGTCATGAGACCCGCTGTGAAGAATCAGGTTAAAAGACATTGTGTATATGCTGAACCACTAGTGTGAAGATAGCCATACTGACTCTCGAGATGCTAGTTATGGACACTGTCACCTGTATATCAGCTCAGGCTTCCTGGCTGTGTGACGAACGAGGTGTGTGACTTTGGGCAAGTGACTTCAGTTTCCCAAGCCTCAGTTTCCCCACCTGAAGATGAGAGAGTTGGCTCAGGGGCTCTCCCCAGGCTTTGCAGCTCTGAGCTGCCCGTCTGAGGTCCTTTTAACACATGTGTGTGTGTGCGTGTGCATGCACGTGTGTGTGCGTGGCCTGTGGTGCATGCATTGGGCACATGTACTCTGCTAACCAACCTGCAGTGGTTCTGGCCGAGATGGCTCCTCATGTAGCCCCAACTATCTATAGTAGTGATAATTGTGCTGATACTTACTATTTGGCCTTCACCACACCTGTTCCCAGTGTGTTAGAGCTCCCAGCAGCACAGATGAGGGTTTGTCAATATTTCCATCATCCTCTGGGCAGCTGCATTCCAGAGCCTGGGTGAGAAAACTAAACAAAGATGCCAACCTATCAAGCTGTACATCCAACTTTAAAATTTTACAACATTTGAAAGAGAATCGCCATTAAAAAAACTACAGCTAGGAAACTACAGGAAGAGGTTGCTTAATTTTACCTCTTATGATTATTAAAAACAATTTTTAAAACCTCTGGATTAAAAAAAAAAAAAAAAAAACATATATATACCTCTTTCTTCCTCTAGCCCAGAGCCTGAAATGAGCAAGATAGTCAGTAAACATTTGAGGTATAAATGAATGAGTGTCTTGACTTTCTCTATCTGGAATTTTAGTCTGATAGGAACTCAGATCAGAGGTGGCAAAATGGCAGCCTGTGGGCTGAGACTGGCCTGCAGCTGTGTTTTATTTGGTCTGAACATTGTTTTTAAAATATTTGGATCATGTGTCAATATTTTAAAATCAAGAGCTTTCACATAAAGATCAGCAGATCTAATAACACCACCCACGGCAGTTCTTAGCTGGAGCTGTGTAGTGTGGAGGCATTGAAATCTCCAGGATGCCACAGTCCTCCTCACTCCCAAGTGTATACCAGCTCTAATTTTATATTTTGGCTAAGATCAAAGAGTACCTGGAAGTTCTTCCTCCTTAAAACCAACACTAGGGACTGCCCTGGCAGTCCAGTGGTTAAGACTCTGCTTTCACTCCAAGGGATGCAGGTCTGACCCTTGGTCGGGGAGCTAAGATCCCAATGCCACATGGCTTGGCCAAATTAAAAAACCAAAAACAAAATGGCACCACCGACTTTCCTGTTTGGAGATAACAAAGAGATCACCTGTACATGAGCCACTGCCCTCCTCACGTGAGCAAATTTCTAACTGTAAGTAAGGACCTTGAAGGCATGCTCAGGGTCGTATACCCCAAAGCTATCTCCCAAAGCAAATCTCACCCTAATCCACTGGTCTTTGGAGTGAAGATGTGTGTATGTGTGATGGGTGCATGTAGATACAGATTCCCTCTTGCAGAAGTGACATCTGTCCTGGAGAAGCAGACCGCTGCCTCCCTTTGAACTAACTGTAAAGAAAGCACATGCCTGGCAAATTTACACTGTGCAGACGTCAAGATTGGGAAAACGAGACTTAAGTGCCTTGAAGGTTAGATGCTTCCACTTACCTGCAGGCCCCACGGATGCATATGACTTACAGCAATGTAGAGGCTAGTTATCAACTATTCTTTGCTATTCAGTAAAGTGGACCCCACTTTAGCATCTTGATTAACCTTAAAAGCTAAAACAATCCATTGTTTTGCATACATGCTGTAACTGAGGCTTTTCTGTCCTTTTACCCTGCTTTCCCCATTCACCTCCTGTCTCCTCAGTCACTCCAGATTATGGAGTCCTTGGTGGGGTCCTGGCCCTGTGACCTAGCACACTGCCTGGCTTTGTAATACTCACCCTGTAAATGTTTGTAAAATGAGTAAGGAATTTAAGGAAAGATACATTTCTACACAAACATCTTCAGCAAATATTCTCCTGGTCAAAGGTGATGATAAAATGTTGTGGGAACTCTTTCTTTACCAATTGGATAGCTGGGACTGAGAGTCAGTTTTAGGTCCTTATAGTTATGAGAGATCTAAGGCAATATTTTCTAACCCATGTAACACCTCCATGCCTAGTTTACATAATACGGCTCCTCACTCTGTAAAACAAAATGCCACATTAAATCTGGCCAGCTCTAGCCTGCCCAGTCTCAGCATCATTTTTGGCCACTGACACACAAAAGCCTGTGTTCTTAGCATTCTGTGGGCACTTAATGTATTGCATTGGCCATTTTTGTAATTTTTCCCTCAATAACATTAAAAAAAAAAAACACCTTTTTTTGGAGATATAATTCTCATGCCATAAAATTCACTCATTTAAAGTGTACAGTTCAGTGTTTGTTAGTATATTCACAGAGATATACAACAATCACCATAGTCAATTTTAGAACATTCTCATCACCTCAAAAAGAAACCTGTCCCTGATAGCTGTCATTTTGCATTTCTCACCATCCTCCTCAGCTCTGGGGCTTCCTTGATAGCTCGGGTGGTAAAGAATCCGCTTGCAATTCAGGAGACCCTTGCAATGCATGTTTGATTCCTGGGTCGGGAAGATCTGCTGCAGAAGGGACAGGCTACCCACTCCAGTATTCTTAGGCTTCCCTTGTGCCTCAGCTGGTAAATAATCCGCCTGCAATGCGGGAGACCTGGGGTTCCATCCCTGGAGGAGAGAAAGGCTACCCACTCTAGTATTCTAGCCTGGAGAATACTATGGGCTCTGTAGTTCATAGGGTTGCAGAGAGTTGGACATGACTGAACAACTTTCACTTCACTTCCTCATCTCTAGGCAACCATTAATCTACTTTCTGTCTCTATAGAGTTGATGTTCTGAATATTGCATATCAGTGGAATCAGACACTATGTAGGCCTTTGTTACTATTGGCTTCTTTCACTAAGTATGTTTTCAAGGTTTCACCTATGATGTAGCATGCACCAACCCTTCATTTCTCTTTATTGCAAAATGGCATTCTGTTGTAGGGATATGCTACATTTTCTTTACCCACTCATCACTGATAGAGATTTGAGTTGTTTCTACTTTGGGGCTATTATCACTCAGGTTACTATGAACATTCTTGCGTAAGTTTTTGTGTGAGCATATTCTTTTATTTCTCTCGGGTTTACCTAGAAGTGGAATTGCTATCTCATATGATAACTCTGTTTTTAATCTGTTGAGAAACTTTCAGACTGTTTTCCAAAGGGGATGCATTTTTTACATTTCCCTCCACAGTGTATGGATGTCTCAATGTCTTCACAGTCTCACCAACACTTGTTTTTACCCATCTTTTTTATGGGTAAAAGGGTGTGAAGTGTAATATCTCATCCTGGGTTAGATTTGTGTTTTCTTGTTAACGATGTTGAGAAGCTTTTCAGGTGCTTATTTTTTATATCTTCTTTGAAGAAATGTCTATTCAAATCTGTTGCCCACTTTTAAGTTCTGTTATTTGTCTTATATTTTAAGTTAAGAGATCTTTATGTATTCTGCATACTAGATCATTCTCAGATACATGATTTGTAATAACTTTCTACCAAACTGTGGGTTGTCTTTTTACTTCTTAGTTTCCTTTGAAGCACAAACATGTTCAATTTTGGTGAAGTCATATTTATTTTTTCTTTTGTTGCTTATTGTTTCAGAATCATATCTAAGAAACCATTGCTTAATCCAGGTCACAGAGATTTATGCCTGTTTTCTTTCAAAAGTTTTATAGTTTTAGCTCTTACATTTAGGTCTTTGATTTATTTTGAGTTAATTTTTGTATATCAGTTGAGTTCATATGCTGTTTTTTCTATCATATGCTGTTTTTGAAAACAAGTTAAAATGATAAATAATCAAGAGTTTAAAAATATGCAACTGGCTGTAGTTTTAATTGAAAATTATGTTGTATTTCACTAAACGTACCATTTAATGGAATGAAAATAAACTCCTAACAAGGCTAATACTCTCAGTGTTTACTTTAAAGAGTCAATAAGCCGAGAATGGTTAGAAAAATTGTTTTTGTTTTTTAAAAATGAACTGCTTTCAATGAAGATAAATAGAACTGCATTTTAACATGCCACACAAGTAATATTTTTAAAACACATGAAAAGCATCTTTATTCCCGTATTATAATGATATGGGTTTCAGTTCTAACACAGTGGTTCTTAGTCAGGGGTGATTTTGCCCCCCAGGAGACATCTGGGGGTGTTTGGGGATATTTTGGTTGTTACAACCTGGAGAAGTGCCAGTGGCATCTGTCAGGCAAAGGACGGAGATGCTGCTAAACAGCCAAGAATATGCCTAGAACAGCTCCCGTGACAAGGAAGCATCCAGCCCCAAATCTCTCTTGTGCCGAGGCTGCAAAACCCTACCTTCCCCATCCCAGTTTTATTGAGATATAACTGACATATAGCAATGTAGAAGTTTAAGGTGTACAGCATACTGACTGGACTTAATACATCATGAAATGATGACCACAAGTTTAGTGAACATCTGTTATCTCATGTAGATACCAAAAAACAAAATTGTGAAAAAAAACTCTCCTTCAAATCGCTGGCCTCTATCAGATATATTCAAAAAGAGATGTAAGTTTGCAAACCCCTTTCCCCTCAGTTACAACCTCGTGGGTTTTCACCACCATACTGATCCTTTCGGAGGCTAGAATGCACCCCAGCACCTAACCACCATCAAAATCCTTTATAGTAACAAGAATCTGTCAGGTCTTCCCTTGTGGGGATCATTGGGAACCACTTGCTTTACATGCTTAATTCATTTTATATTTGTATTTGTTCATTTTAAAAATTTTAAGACATATTTGGATAACACATCCCCTGTCCAGCCTACATATTTGGGTAGCCTACCTCCTGGCAAAATGTATCTTATCAGCTCACAGAGCAGCAACAATCACCAGCAATGATTTGTGTGCTCACTCTGCCAGGCGCTGCGGGCTCAGCCCTCTTCCACGTTATCTGATTGAGTGTTCTCAGCAGTTCTGAGAGAGTGACTGTCATTATTCACATTTTACAGCTGTAGAGATGGAGGAACAGTGAGGTTAGCTGACTTGCCCAAGATCACAGTGCTGGAGATACCGTTACTCCAAGTGAGGGCGTAAGCCTGGGGCGGGGGGGGAGGTCAACTGTGAATTGCCAGCATGTCACAAAGAATTTGATTGCTCATCACGGGTAGTCACAGATGGACGTTTGCAGGACGGATAGGCTGTCCCCTCACTCAGCTGAGCTATAGTAGATGTACTTACTCGGAGTGGACGCACACAGGTAGCCACAGGAGGTCTCATCTCACCTGGGACATGGCTCATCCACGGACCCTCATCACATGGAAAGTGTCTAAGGACTGCTGCTTGGGGAAAATTGGGGTGTCTGTGGCACCACTTACGTTCCTGACGGTCACTCACGAACCAGTCAAGGCTCAGTCTTCTACCTACTGGCCATTCTCTCATACTGTCCTCTCCAGTTCCCAGGTGTCCTTCCTGGCTGTGGCCTAAGTCCATCTGCATGGACACCAGCCCCACTCTCTGAGCCCCGGTATGCACTGACCCTGATGTCTGTGCCAGGCCCTGCTCACCCCGACTCTCCCAGAGTTGGGCTCACACTCCAGTGCCCTGATCTCGCGCCCACTGCTCTTATGGAAACGCACAGTGGTAAACTGTCCTGTAAAAAACAGACTGCAGCCCAACAGCAGTATTTCCCTCCCGAGCTTTGTCCCTCCGTGCGCCGGGCCCAGAACTCTCTTCGTGTGCCCGACAGCATTCTCCTCTCAGAGGCGGCGTTTAGGAAAGGATCTGGGGTGAGAGGGGGTGGCTGAAGAGATGCATGTTCTTACTGAATGGCACAGAGATGGGCGATGGAATGGCTGTCTGATTTGTCCAGTTAGGGAGCACAGCAAGAAGTGAGGTGAGACTCTGCTCACATCACCCTTCCTGGGATCCTCCTGATCTCCCTGAATGAAAGAGGGTCGGGGAGAGCACTGACCTGACCAGAAGATTTCCCTTTTCCCTCAAGTCTGAAGGAGGAGCCTGATTTGGGTTCTAGATTTGCGCGAGTCTTTCTCTGCCCTTGGCCTCAGTTACCTCCTGAAGGGAGTGTGTGTGCACTGGCTGATCTCTGAGCATCTTTTCCAACCATGAGTGTCTTTGAATCTCTGCATTACTGAGTTAAAGTGAAGCCCGTGTGATTCAAATCCACCCTGATTAGGAGCCTGCTTTCGTAGTGAGCCCACACCTAGAAGCCTGCCCATGTTTGAAGAAGAAATCACGGGGATTGGTTGATGATATCTTTCTTGAGAGACCCATCTCCAAGGGCAACGTTCAAAATATTTAACAGCCAGCGTGCATGAGCACGCGGTCAGGAGGGTAGGAAGCAGCGGGTAGGGCCAGCCAGGGCCTGCAGCCTGCCAGCCTGCCTGGCCTTCCCGCCGTCCTGCCCCGCTTTCTCTGCCTGTTTTGGGGGGCCTGCCTCTTCCTGCCTGATTCTGCATCCGAGGCCCTAACTCGCCCTCCCCTCCAGGCTGCTTCTGTCCCCAGCTGCTTTCTACGCAGTGGCTGGAAATACCCTCCTGCATCCAAACCCCAGTGTCATCTATTTCCCCCTCAGCAGATGCTCTGGCAGCCCCCTGCTGTGCCTGGCCCCTGGGCAGCTGACCCTCACCCTCATGCCTTTGTAGAATGTTCCAGACTGGGAACGGGTTTGGTTATGAGAGCTGAGTCCTAGCCGAGCTGGGCCTCTGTCTGCCGTGACCTCCTGTGTCTCTCCGTGACCTCGGCCAGTCCCTGCCCCTCCTAGGGTGTTAGTTTCCTTACCTGTGAACGAACAACTTAGATGGAGCTCCCGTGGTTCCTTGAGGAGTTTCTGGAGAAATGCGAGTCTTCGGCAGCTGACCGCTCTCTCTCTTTCTCTCCCTCTCTCTCTCTCTCTCTGCACCCGCCCCGCAACCACCACTGTAGAATGCACTGCTGCCCGCGGGCCTGAGGCAGAAGGATCAGACCACCAAGGCGCCCACAGGCCCCTTTAGAAGGGAGGAGCTCTTGGATCACTTGGAAAAGCAAGCAAAGGAGTTTAAGGACCGAGAAGATCTGGTCCCCTACACGGGGGAGAAGCGAGGTACTGGACGATGTTGCGCCTTTGAATATGTCAGCCCTCCATCCATCCCTGAGTGCCATCTGTAAGCCAGGCCCCGTGTTGGGCCAGATGTGACCAGGCCACCTTGCCTTCATCCCTGCTTGGCCCAGAGTTACAGCCCAGCTCCAAAAGCATCCATGTGTGAGGTGGATTTAGTGAAGTTTTGGGCTCAACCAGACCTGCAACACTTCCCCCTAAGCCCCCTCTAACTGGGGTGTCCTGATTACTCTTCATCCAAACCTGATATGGTTGAAAGGGAAAGAAGGGACTATTAAAATGATATCAGGACATGAGGCCCAGACAAAGCCTGTGCCCTCCAACCAGAAACAAGAGCTACCTTCTCCCTAGCCTAACTGTCCCCGCTCTTTGCCCACAGCTCCTCTCTCCTTCATCTGTCCCCCTATGACTCTCTGCCCCAGCCTAAGGTACACCATCGAGAAGGGTCGGGGAGCAGAGAAGCACCCCGACTACCCAACCCTTCCAGAACTTCCCCTACCCTCCAAACCCTCCTCCTGTCCTCTGGGATCGTGCTCATCGTCACTTACTGCCCTGCTGCCCCCACAGGCCTCTTTCTGTTCCCCAGGCACTCCCAGCTCTTTCCCACCTTGGGACCTTTGCACAGATGCCTTCCGCCTGGAATGCAGGCCCTCTGTCTGGCTCCATGCTGTCTTTAGGGCTCCCCTCTTCTGTAAGAGATGTGATGGTTAGAAGCACAGACAGAGCTGGGTCTACTCAGCTGCAGCCTGAGTCCCCTCACTGGCTGTGTGAACTTGAGTACATGTGTTTGCTTGTTGGCCGCACTGCAAGGCTTGTGGGATCTTACTAGTCCCTGACCAGGGATGCAGCCCGCACCCCCTGCGGTGGAAGCTCAGTGTCTTAACCACTGGACTGCCAGGGAATTCCCTCAGGTGCATTTCTAAACCTGCTGTGCCTCCATTTCCTCATTTGTGAAATGGGGGTGATGAAAAGAATATTCATCTGAGGGTGTTCTCAAGATTGAGTGAAGATTATATATATATATATAAAGCACTCAGCAGAGCACCTGGCCCATCATGAATGCAGTATCAGTATCAGCTATTATTACCCTCTTGGTCTCAACTGTACTGTCTCCTCTTTCAGGAAAGCCTTTCCTGTCTCCACTGGTTAGCACATTCCATCCGTTCATCTCCCCCTCGGTTAGTCTCCCTCTCAGAAGCCTTTGTGTGTTCTTCAGAACAGTTTATTCACACTGGCCTGTAAGCTCCGTGAGGCAGGCACTCAGACACATTTGCTCACACAGTTCCCCCGGGACCCGGCAGGGCTCAAGACAGAGGTGCTGAATGAATGAATGAGTTCAAACTGATTGCATGCATAATGGATCTTGCAGACTTTTTCCTTAGAATATAAGCTCCGTGGGTACTAGTACCACACCTGTCTAGTTCATTGTTATATTCCTGGACCTCATAAACCCTAGCACGTCGTAGGCACCCAGTAAATAGTTGTTGAATGAAAGCATTAGCTCTAATGAATTAATTGAGTAATTGTTTATTTTCTGCCTCTTCCGTTGTCACCCCCGCAAGGATGTCAGCATGGTGAGCCACGGGTCCCTGTCTGTGGCTTCGTCCCTGTGTCAGCTGAGCTACTGAGCAGGCGTGCCCTGTTGTGTTAGCACAATCCAGTTCGCAGAGTAACTGCCTGATAAACGATGAAATGAAAGAGCAGGCAGGGGTGGACATTGCAGGGAGGATGTTGAGCCATCCAGCGCTTGCCGTTGGCGCTCAGCCCAGATTTTACCAAAAACTTGGAAGGTCAGGTAAGACCAGGAGACATCTGGATCACAGAGCTTTGGAAAAACTGTGTGCTCTGAGGCATCCTGGAGTGGGAGGCAGGGGAAGGGAGCCTGGACCTTAAAGCCTGGGTGTGCCTGGCTGAGAGTATAGGTGCAAGCTGGTTTTAAGCAAGGTACTTGTGCCTTGAGGAGTGATTTCAGGTGCAGCGGTAAAGATAAAAAAAAATCTATGGATTTCAAGGGGGTCTTAAAACTCCCACTAGCCCACCTACACATCTGAAAACTGGGGAAAGCAGGGCTGTGACAGTCAAGAGCAGACCTGGGACAGTTGGTGAGTCATCACTGCCATCTGCTCCCTGGTGTAGCCCTCCCCCGCCCAGGGGAGGAGCTGGAGATGAGATGGGGGATGGGCAGGGAATCTGGGCCGCACACCAACCAGTCCTGCTGCCCCTTCTCAGAATGCTGACCTGGCCCTGAGCCTGGAACAGCTCTCCAGACTCCCAGAGCCTGAGTGCCTTCATCAAAGACCAGGCTGACCCAAGCAGGGTAGAATAAATATAGTTTATTCTATTTTCACAATAATGACAAGCCTAAAAGTTTTATCATCACTAACATCATCACCACCAGCATCATCATCATCACCATCATAAAAGATTTACATGATGATTGTTGGAGTCCATGTATATTGAATAAGTGCGGGTTTCAACAGTCACTACAAGATCTGGCAGGATGTAGTAGGGGCCGTAAACTGGTGCAAAGTCCTGAGGAATTTGGATTTTCCTTCACTTTCATTCAAGTGGGGGAATCAGAACAAAGTTCCAAGAAGGGTATTTTCATTATGCAGATTTGGCTGCATGTGCTAGTGAAACAAGTAAAATAAAAGAGACTTAAGATGAAACTTTAGTTTTCTTTTACTTAGTAGAGCTGCAGGGTTAGACATTCCAAGGCTGGTAAGACATCTTTCTTGGGGTTAGGAATCAAGAGCTTTTCCAGTTTTTCATTCTGCCATCCTTGCAATACATCTTTGTCCTCATGGTTCTTTTGGCTGCTGAAGCTCCAGTCATCATAGCCATATCCCAACTAATAAGATGAAGGAAGGGAAGAAGTCTGAGTCTTGTAATATCTGAATTACCACCTCTATGGAGGCGCCTGCTACAGTAGTATAGTAAACCGTAAGTCTTAAATATTTACTGAATGTTCGTCCTAATCACTGCATCAGCCGTTTTCACAGTTTGTTTTCTTTTTCACCATTTTTGCCCTTTTCCAGGTCCGCCTCTGGTGAGTTATTATACATTTTCTCCCAGATGATTTTTTGCCTGTTCTGCTTATATAGGTAACTGATCTTTGCTGTAGATATTTTTAAGTAATAGAACAAAGTAATTCTTTCCACTGAGAGATGGCCCCCTGGTCCTATTTGAATGAATATCCTTGTGGACATTTGCCTTTGCACTTCCCATCCCTCTGCATCTGTGGTCCAAGTCACTGTCATTTCTCATCTAGACTTTTGCAGAAGCCTCCTAACCATTAACCATCTCTTGGCTTCCATCCCGGCCCCATTTCAGGTTATTCTCCACCAATAGCCAAAGTGAGCAGTTGTGTTTTTTTTTTTTTAATTAAATTCGCATAACGTAACTATTTTAAAGTGAACGGTTCAGTAGCACTTAGTATATACACAATGTTGTGCGACTACCATCTTTGCTGCTGCTAAGTCGCTTCAGTTGTGTCCGACTTGCTGCGACCCCATAGACGGCAGCCCACCAGGCTCCCCCGTCCCTCTCTATCCAGATCTAAAACATTTTCATCCAAAATAAAACCCTGTGCCCAATAAGCAGTTAGTCTCCATGCCCCCCTGTCCCCCACCCCTGGCAATCACCAATCTATTCCGATAGATTTACCTATTCTGGATATCTCCTCTAAATTATATCATATGTGACTTTGTGTGTCTGGCTTCTTTCACTTAGAATATAGTTTTCAAGACTCATTCATTCCCATTACTGAATGATATTCCACAGTCTGTCCGTTTATCCATTGATACACATTTTGGTAGTTTTTGGGCTGTTGTGATCAGTGCTGCTATGAACATTCCTGTATAAGCATTTGCTTGGGTAATTGTTTTCAGTTCTTTGGGGTATATACCTAGGAGTGGAGTTGCTAGATCATATGTAATTCTACGTTTAACTTTCTAAAGAACTACCGAACTGTTTTCCAAAGCAACTGCACCGTTTCACATTCCCACCAGCAAATATATGAGGGTCAGTCTCTCCACACCCTTGCCAACATGTGTTACTTTCCATTTTAACTTTTGATTTTTGTTATAGTCATTATCACGATTGTGAAGAGATATCACGTTGGGATTCTGATTTGCATTTCCCTAATGACCAACGTTGTTGAGCACCTTGCCACATGCTCATTGCCCATCTGTACAACTGACCCTCCGTGTCTGTAGGTTCTGTATTCAACCAACCATGAATCAGAAATATTTTTAAAAATTCCACAAATTTAAAAAAACAAAACTTGAATTTGTCTCACACTGGCAACTATTTACATAGTATTTACATTGTACTAGGTATAAATAATCTAGAGATGATTTAAAGTATACAGGAGGATGTGTGTAGGTTATATGCAAATATTATGCCATTTTATATAAGTGACTTGAGCACCCAATCCCCCTCAGATACCAAGGCAATTGTATATCCTCTTTGGAGAAATGTCTATAAGCCCTTTGCTCATTTTTAAATAGGTTGTTTTTCTTTTGGTAGTTGAGTTGTTAAAGTTCTTTATATATTCCGAATACTAGACCCTATAAAAATATATGACTTTTGAATATTTTTTCTTCTTCTCTATGTTGTCTTTCTACTTTCTTGATGGTGTCCTTTGATGCTCAAAGGTTGTAAATTTTAAATTCAATTGGTCAGTTTTTCTCTAGCTGCTTATTCTTTTTTGTCATATCTGGGAATACTTTGCCAGATCTAAGGTTGTGAAGATTTCTGTTTATGTGTTCTTCTAAGAATTTTATAGTTTTAACTAGTATACTTAAGTCATTGATCTGTTTCCAGTTGGTTTTCTGTGTATGGTGTGAGATAGAGATCCAGCTTTATCTTTTTGCCTATCGATATCTGGTTGTCCCAGCACCATTTCTTGAAGAAACTATTGTTCCCCATTCAATGGATTTGACAAGTTCATCAAAAATCAATCTGCCTAAGATGGATGGGTGTATTGCTGGACTCTCAATTCTACCCCATTGTGTTCTATGTCTATCCTTATGTTTGTGCCACATTGCTTAATCTTATAGTAAGTTTTGAAATCAGGAAGTCTGAATCCTCCAACTTTGTTTTTATCAAGATATTTTGACCAATTGGAGTCCCTTACAATCATATGAATTTGAGGTTTGGCTTTTCTGTTTCTGAAAAAAAAAAAAAAAACCATTGAAATTTTGTTAAGGGTGGCTTTGAATCTGTGGGTTGTTTGGGGCAGTATTACCATTTTAATATTGCCTTCCAGTCTTTGAAATTGGGATTCTTTTTTGCTTGTTTAGCAAAAAAGCAGTGTTTTGTGGGCTTTCCAAGTAGCTCAGTAAAAGAATCTGCCTGCCAGTGCAGGAGATTGTACAAATCCTTCACCTCCTTGGTTAAATTTATTCCTAAGTATTTTGTTCTTTAGGATGCTATTGTAGATGAAATTATTTTTCTAATTTCCCTTTAAGATTTTTCATTGCTTCTGTATAGAAATACCACTTAGTTTTGTATGTTAATCTCATACCCTGTTTCTTTTGTGTGTGGAATCTTTTAGGGTTTTCTACATATAAGATCATATCATCTGAGAACAGAGATAATTTTACTTTTTTGTTTCCAGTCTGGATACCATTTATTTCTTGTCCATTCAGTCTGATTAGAACTTTATGTACACAGTTGGGTAGGAGCAGTGAAAGTGAGCATCCTCGTCTTGTCACTGATCTGAGGGTCTCATTTCCCCACTCTGTTAGATTCCAGCTCACAGATCATCTTCCCTGACCACCCTACCCCAAAGAGCAGAGTCCACCTCACCCACACCCCAGCCTGGAACTTCCTAATCTTTTGCTTGGCTTTATTTTCCTTTGTGATGCTTAGTACTATCTGCTATCTTTACATGTTTGCTAATTATCTGTCTTCTTTCACTAAACTGTAAACTGTTCCCTGCTATCTGCCTAGTGCCAAGAAAGGTACCTAGAACATAGGAAGGACTCAATAAATTGTTAATTGTTGTTCAGTTGCTAAGTTGTGTCCGACTCTTTGCAACCCCATCAACTGCAGCACGCCAGGCTTCCCTGTCCTTACTGTCTCCCGAAGTTTGCTTAAACTCATGTCCATTGAGTCAGTGATGCCATCCAACCATCTCATCCTCTGTCTCCCTCTTCGCCTCTTTCCCTCAATCTTTCCCAGCATCAGGGTTTTAATGAGTCAGCTCTTCACATCTCGTGGCCAAAGTGTTGGAGCTTCAGCATCATTCCTTCCAATGAATATTCAGGGTTGATTGCAACTCAGTAAATACGTTGCATGAATAGATGTGTGTGTGTGTGTGTGTGTGTGTGTGTGTGTGTGTGTGTGTGTGTGTGTGTGTGTATGCAATTTTCCAGATGTTTTGCCACTGTCCCACAATAAACATTTATTAATTCTATCATCAGAAATAAATCTCTTCAGTAAGTGCAAAAAGGTTCAGCATGCCAGGCTTCCCTGTCCTTCACTGTCTCCCGAAGTTTGCTTAAACTCATGTCCATTGAGTCAGTGATGCCATCCAACCATCTCATCCTCTGTCTCCCCCTTCGCCTCTTTCCCTCAATCTTTCCCAGCATCAGGGTTTTAATGAGTCAGCTCTTCACATCTGGTGGCCAAAGTGTTGGAGCTTCAGCTTCAGCATCATTCCTTCCAATGAATATTCAGGGTTGATTGCAACTCAGTAAATATGTTGCATGAATAGATGTGTGTGTGTGTGTGTGTGTGTATGCAATTTTCCAGGCTTCCCAGGTGGCACTATTGGTAAAGAACCTGCCTGCCAGTGCAGGAGAGATAAGAGCCCTGGGTTCAATCCCTGGGTCCAGAAGATCCCCTTGAGGCGTGCATGGCAACCCACTCCAGTATTCTTGTGTGCAGAACCCATGGACAGAGGAGCCTGGTGGGCACATAGGGTCACACAGAGCCAGACACACTTGAGCAGCTTAGCACGCACACATGCGATTTTTCATAACCAGAATTAAATAATTTATGCTATCCTGTAAGCTTGCTTTTGATAGCTTAGAGAGAATGGTGTCGGATTCTTGATCTCCGAAGAAGAGGATTTAGCTTCGGGACCAGGGACCAGGCTTGATCACTCAAGAGCTCTTGTGTAGCAGAGTTTTATTAAAGTAAGAAAAGGGACAGAGAAACCTTCTGACAGAGACATCAGAAGGGGGATGGAGAGTGCCCCCCCTGCTAGTTTTAGCAAGCTGTTTTATGTCTGTTAGAAAGTGATTAATCAGATAAGGAAGACACCTCAAGGCTGACGGAGTTTCACCAGGCCCCTCTCCCACAATGTGCATTTTTGAGATAGTGTGGCGCGAGATGTATCATCCCCCAGCCATAAAACAATTGATATGAATATGGGTTTTTTTTAGCTATTATCAGCCAAAAGTTAGTCTTAGGTGGAACCATTTTGAAGAAAGGCAATTCCAAAGCGAATACATAGTTTTAATTAACATAGCTTAAGGAAAACATTTCCATAAGAAAAGCGCATTGGTTAGCTCAAGGTTTGAGACAAGTTCAGTTCAGGTGGAACCGGGTGTCATCATAGCAACACACGATTTTAAGAGACACTTGCAGCTATTTCCTCCATTTGGAGACCCCTGGCCTTCCTGCCTGTTAAGCTCTCACTTTCTCACACATGTTGTCTTGGGCATTTCCCTTTCTTAGTGAGCAGAGCTCTCCATCGTCCTTTTGCGGGATCGCCGTTGTGTGGATGCCCCATAATTTCTTCAAAAGGCCACCTTGGTGCACTCTGCCACTGCCAACCATCCCTGTGTGTGCCTCTTTGCTCTGTCGTTCAGTTATGAGCCTGACCCTTTAAAAATATGATGTCCCAAGTTTCTCCCTATTCCTCTTTTACTAATCTGAGTGTGTGTATTTGTGTTAGAAATGTTTGTAAGTTTTTCTCTCATACCAGAACCCTTGTTTAGAGCAGTCCAGACCCTGGCACTCTATTATATTTTTCTTTTGCATTTTTTTCTACTTACTGATTGTTAAAATTAATGACCAGTGTTTTCAATAGTGAGCAGTCTCCTCTGACCAAGTTCTAAAGTTCTTCTTTTTAAACATAAGGGGTGCTCTGTTGGAGATCTCTGATTCCCTTTCTCTGAGCCAGTTTGGCACTGGATCCCCAGAGAGAGAAGCTTTAAGGGCACCTTGGCATGGAGGAATCTGCAGGACTCTGGACAGTCCACCTGGGGTCATCGCCAGAGGCTGCCCCAGTGCAGTGGCGCTCCGTGTAACAGGCATCTCGTGTGTTTTCAGGAAAGGTCTGGGTCCCCAAGCAGAAGCCGATGGACCCTGTGCTGGAAAGTGTGACGCTGGAGCCGGAGCTGGAGGAGGCCCTGGCGAATGCCTCAGATGCGGAGCTCTGCGACATTGCAGGTAGGATGTTCCTGCCACCTCCCCACGTCCTCCAAAGCCTTTGACCTGCATCAGAAGGGGAGCCTTGAGTGATTCATTTCAACATAAATACCCCCTCTGTTTCTAAAAATGACTAGAGGAGATGGAAACCTATTACCAGGAACCAAAATGAGTGAAATAGATAAAAACACCCAAACCCTTTCCACCTTGGAGCCCATCCCAGAGGAATGTGGGGGGCAGCCTAAGCCCTTCCCCAGCCATTGCATCAAACCCGGCCCAGGCCTCCTGGGAAGAATGAAGAGAGGGGAGGAGACAGAGGGCTGCTGGCATCTCGGGTCCAGGCGGCTCCCAGAGGCCTGCTGTTACCGCTTTGCACAGTTCAGAGAGCTGGGCTTGGAGCTGATCACCGCATATCTCATATTCGTAAAACACCCTCCATCTTCATGCGTGTTTCCATGTGATCTCACAGACAGCCCCTAAAACTCCAGAAGGTGGCCTGGCGTCCAGAGCCCGTCACCACCCGCTCCTGTCCCCCTCTTACTGTCTGGTCCCCGCCCTGCTTGTGAGTATCACTTTCTCCCAGGGGGTCAGGCTCTGGCCGTGGCGTGCCCACTGTCGTTCTGTGCTCCCTGGCCCCGTGGGGTAGGTGGTCTTTTTATTCAGCGGTCTTGGGGGGCTACTAACCTTCACCCAGATGATGACAGGAGGGTGGATGGGATCGGGAGAGACTCAAGGCAAGTGGGAAGGGGAGAGGAAAGACGGGGTCAACTGTGAGGTCAGGGGAGGAGTCCAGTTCTCCAGAGACTATGTCGGTGTCACTAGTGAAGGTGGGTGCCCTAGTCTGCTTGGGCTGCCCTCATGAGATGCCGCAGGCTGGTGACTTAAACAACAGCACTGTGTTTGCTCAGTAGTTCTGGAGGTTAGCTGTCCAAGGTCAAGGTGTCCCCAGGCTTGGTTCCCTCTGAGCCCTCTCTCCGGGCTTGCAGATGACGGTACCTCTCTGATGACCGTATCTCTCTGTTGCGCTGTGCAGGTGTCCCCTGGGGTCCCTTTGTGTCCTATCTCCTTCTTGTAAGTACATCAGGCAGATTGCATTAGGACCTACCTTAACAGCCTCATTGTCATTTAATCACTTCTTTAGAGACCTTATCTCTGAAAACAGTTACAAATTCTAAGGGGCTAGAAATCGAACTGTGGTGTTGGAGAAGACTCTTGAGAGTCCCTTGGACTGCAAGGAGATCGAACCAGTCCACCCTAGAGGAGATCAGTCCTGGGTGTTCAGAAGGACTGATGCTGACGCTGAAACTCCAGTACTTTGGCCACCTTATGCGAAGAGTTGACTCATTGGAAAAGACCCTGATGCTGGGAGGGATTGGGGGTAGGAGGAGAAGGGGACGATAGAGGATGGGATGGCTGAATGGCATCACCAACTCGATGGACATGAATTTGAGTAAACTCCGGGAGTTGGTGATGGACAGGGAGGCCTGGCGTGCTGTGATTCATGGGGTCACAAAGAGTCAGACACAACTGAGCGACTGAACTGAACTGAGAAATTACCTTATTCAACATAGTAGAAGGACAAAGCAGGACACAGTCAACAACTTTGGAGGGACAAAATTCAGCCGTAAGAGTGAGGGAAGGACAAGTGTAGGGGAAATAAGGCCAATGGCCACCCACGGAGGGGCAGGTGTATATGAAAGTCCTTGAGTTCTTCTAGGGTCCACGCTGCAGATAGGGAGGTGGGTGTCATCAGTATCGTCAAGCTCTAGGGTGGAGGGCCTGGCAGGAGTGGGGTCTGGGGCTCTGGAGGCTAGGGCCCTGGCTGGGGTAGAAGTCTTTGGGAGAAGAGTGGAAATAGGATGAAGGTAGCCACCATGGATACCACAAATGTGCTGCGAACCCAAGGCCAAATCAAGATGGGCAGAGCCTAACACGAGAGCTAGGGAGATAGTATGAGGGTTCGGGGCCTGCCGGGAGACTCGGAGGTGAGGCCAGAGGCCAGTAAGGCTGCCGTTGCCAGGGGACTCAGCTGGCTGCAGTGTCTTTTGCTTTTTGCACCCTCCAGCTTTTTGTGCGTGTTGTGTACCAGTATGATGACATTCTTAGGGGAGAGGAGGAAGGGGAGCCAGAGCCAGGTTGCAGCAACCTGCAAGAGCGAACAAGGGGAGCCAACGTGTAGACCCTCAACCCAGATAGTCTTTCCTGGGGAGGCGGGACATTTGGGAAAGGACAAGGGACAGTGGCTTGAAGGGTGTCAGGGCTGAGGGGGAGAGGTGTCCACTTTCACTGTGAAGTACAGAGCAGTGAGGGTGTGACCCTGGAAATGCAGCACTTAGGTCAGGATACTCAACTGCTGTGCTCATCAAAACCCACACATGTCCCATTAGATCGCACGTGAGGCTCCAGTGTTAGGACCCACCTGTCTTCCCGGCTCAGAGTTTGCTTGAGTTCCGTTCATCTGCGCACCTGGGCAGGGGGTGGGGGGCACAGTTGTGGAACCAGCATCTGCACACTGGCTCACCCCGGCGACTGCTGTTTTTGTCCCGGTCCTTCTCTGAGCCCCCTCGTGACGTCACGCTCCTCATTAGGCAGCTCAGAGGGATTATCAAATGACTCCACCGTCAGAACCGCCAGTTCCTATGCCAAAATAGAACTGCAATATCATGCTAAGTTTCTGTCTTGATTTCTTGAAACTATTCCTCCTTGTTTTTGTTGGCATGGCTAATTACTAGTATCTGTTCATGACACCATACACTTCCAACGCCCAGAAAGGAGGAGGGGGCTGCAGGACACCGCCAGTGTTAACTGGCTAGCCTTGGACGCCTATCGTTGCATTCAGCTGCTTGAAAGGTGGCCGTGGAAGAAGGTGCGGGACATTTGTTGACCACCAACTATGTCCTCACTGCTGTGGGCGTTGCTTTCCACACCTTGCTGCATTTATTGACCACAGTGATCCTATGAAGTGAGTTTTATTGAAGTCCCCATGTTACAGATAGAGAAAGTTGGCATAGTGAGGTTATCCTTGCCCAGCGTTTGAACTCCGGCAGCTTGGTTCTAGGGTCTGCTCACAGCATCACCACCCAGTCCACCCTGGATAAAGCCTTCCGCAGAGTAGCGGAGTGGACACAGGGTAGGGAGGGGGTGCATGGTTGAATCTGAGTCGGCCGGGGTGAGGATAGGAATTAGGAAAGGCTCTAGATGTCACACTAAAGCATTGAGGCCTGGGCTGGGCAGTGTTGGGAGAGGCCAGATGAAAGCAGGGGTTTGGGTAGAGAGGTGGTAGTGTTGGGAGGATGCGGGGATGGAGGGGACAGGCCCCAGGTGAGGCCAAGGGCCAAGGTGCCCTGTGTCTGAGATGTGTTTCTGAAAGACCAGCTCCTCCTAGAGCTGGGCAGAGGACAAGAGGCTGAGATGATGAGATGAGTGCGGGCTTTTGGCCTGAGGCTCCAGAAAACAGATCTGGGTGCCTGCAAGGACCGAGCAGAGCTGCCCAGCCTGGAGTCGATTTAAGAGATGGAGCCGCTGGAGGGGGGGACATCTTGTTGGAGCCCTTGGGGGTGTTGCCGGCGGTAGCTGGAGCCCCGAGTGGATGATGCATTAGGGAGCGAAGAGGAGGGCGTGCTGGGCACAGGGCCTGCAGATCCTCTCTGCTCCCTGGGACTCGACTCTGGGGCAGAGTATTTCTGTTAACTAAGCTTCCAACTGCGCTGGACCTACCCTAAGAAAGCAGCCTGGTTCCTGCCCATGCTGAGCTGAGGTTAAATAAACCCCGAGGCCAGCATGGAGGGACAGGAGGGAGCAAGTGTCGCAGGGAGAAAGGGCTGAGTGCAGGAGGGGGCTCGTCAGGCGGTGGGGCCGTGAGACGAGGTGGGGACCGAAGCCGGGCCGAGAGGAGGAAGAGCAGAGGTGAGCTAGGCCAGGAGGTGGGTCCCAGGGGGAAAGAGGCCCCGAGCTGGGGCTGAGGCAGCCCCTCTGAGCCGTTGCCCTGCGGGTGCACGTGCGGCAGGCCTGCTGCCTGGCTGAGACGGGAATGTGTAGGGGGACACCCCGGAGGTGTGTCACATGAGCCAGACCTGTGAACTCTCACTCACTCGTGTGTTTTCTCGTCTGTGCATTCACTCACGAGTCAGCGTACACTGCTGGGATGAATCAGATCCAGTCCCGGACCTGGGGGCCCCAGGATGTGATGAAGAGGACAGCACAGAGACATACAAATATCCACATGCAGTGTCATCATAGGTGATGAGCAATGTGCTGGCCCCTGACCAGACTAACTCCTTGGCATGTGGCCTTGGGTTGTAGCTCCGAGGCCACTGGGAGTCAGCTGCAAGCAAGTGCATGATCACTGCCTCCCCTCCCCAGTCAGGGGTATGACCTTGACTCACCTTTGGGGAACTTTCAGGCAGGGCAGGACCCAAGAAGGAATTGAGGGTAGGTAAACTTACCTTTCAGAACCCCCAGGCCACCCCAGGGCAGTTGGTACCCCCAGCTCCTGTGACGATCAGAGGCAGTCTTAGACCACCCAGCTTCTGCTGTACTTTGATGTCCTTAGGCATCTCTTCTCCTCCGATAAACAAGGGTCAGGGTATGGCTTATTCAGGAGTAGTTGGTTCAGCTGCTCTGAGGTCCTGGGCTGGAGCCAGCTTCTCTCACCTGCTCCCAGGATGCAGGAAATACCTTCCGGCCATCTGCCCGAGTCAGCCCGAGCACTTGGCAGCTTGAGGAGCCAAGGATGTGTGCCGCTGTCTCTCTGTGTCCTAAGTCAAATTACCAACTGAGTGAACCCTGCCAAGGAAGAGTGAGCAAAGAGAACTTGATGTTCTTTTTCAGAGTTCAAAAATAGGCCTTTTTGAGTTTTGAGGAAGATCTAGACTTTTTTTGTAAGAGATCACATTCCCCTGTGCTAAATTCAGCCCTGCCAGTATCTACAAAGAATGAAGCAGCAGGCAATGTTGATGTGCTGTTTTTCTCTGTCACTCACTCCTGGTGACATGGGGTGTGCAAAGCCAATCAAGGAGAACGTCATGGTTTGGTCCTTAGGTCGGGAGAAGGAAATACCGGCTTCAGAGCCACGGGCAGCCTGCTCAGTGCTGGAGATTTTACCTGGCCCCTCGCCCTCCAGTCCTCCTCCCTGTCACCTTCTTAGAACTTTAATCTCTGAATTGCAAAGTCGTTTTATTTCTTCTTCTAGCTGCTATTGATATACATTACCTCCTAGAATATATGTCATCCGTCTTTAGAATTCTGAGGTCGAGGGGAAATTTTAGAACCTTAGACCAGCTGGTGACCTAGTATGTGGAGGTGTGGGTGAGGACATTAACTTAGAAGCCAGGAGGGTCTTCACCAAATGGTCTTTGACCAACCATTACCCTCTTGAGCCTGCTAGGAAAATGGGGGTTGACAGTACCTGTCCTGGATGCTGCTCGTAAAAATCAAACACTATAAGACAGTGAGAAATTGTCATGTGGCTATTAAGGCCCATGAGAAGGTAAGAGATCGTCCCTCAAACGTTATCCATTTTAGAGGTGAGTACACTGAGGTGCAAAAAGTGGAAGTGATCTGGACAGAGTTACTCAGAAAGTTAGCACCAAGGCTCAGGCCAGAGTCCAGGTCTCCTTCCTCTGTCCCCTGGCACTTCCTCCTAACCTTCCTGCCTTGGCCCCCTCTTTCTGGCCATTACAAAAAGCTATCATTCAAGCACAAAATGCATTTCCCATTTTCCCACCACTCTATACACTCTAAGTAGGAGAAGCCATCTGAGGTTACATCTTTCCTCTGATTCCCAGCAAACTGTTTTTCCAAACCTAAAACCCAGCAGCAGCCCAGAACCACCATCAGAGCCGCTGTCTGGGTGGGGGCTGCAAGAGCCCACCCCAGAAGGTGATTCCAGGTGATCTGATTCACCTGCTGCTGACTCAAGCCTCAGCTCCCTCTGCCCACGGAGATGCAGCCTAAATTAAGGCCCAAAGAGCTCAAAGCAGTGCAGAAGCCTCTCTCCTTACCAGTTCTTAACGATGAGCAGGCAGGTCTAATTTTAGCAGAGAAGACTCTTAGAATGTGAGAAACAGAAGGGACTTTCAGATCATCTTGTCTTGTGGTTCTTAGCTCCCACTGAGCATCAGAAATCGTCCAAGGAGAGTAAAAATACATTTCCAGAGATTCGGTCAGTTTGTCCAGGAGGACCACCGGTATTGTTGTAAAGTTCCTGGGTCATTTGTATATGTAGCCATATTGAGACCCAGTGGTCTAGTCTTACCCCTCCTTCTACAGAGGAAGCTGAAACCCAGAGAGGGGAGTGGACTTGTCCAAGGACACAGCATCAGAGGCAGAGTCAGGACTGGAACTTGGGTCTCTTGACTCTTCGCTGAAGGTTCCCATGTTGTCTCTCTAACTAGAAATCGCATCTAATGAAATGGCCAAGGGAGGTTTGTTTGTTTTTTTCATGAACAAATGTTTACCAAATATCATCTTCTGAAAGAGGTCCAAGACAGAGAATACTCTTCCCTGACCTCTGGAAGCCCACAGGCCAGTCGGGGAGGCCCGCCCAGACAGCTCTAACAGTGTGCTGACTCTCCAGGGACACCGGGTGCTGGGAGAGAGCTAGAGGGGAGGCGGAATCCAGGGGGACTTCTGGGAAGGAAGCATGATTCCAGACTCAAAGTATGGGGGGGTAGAGTTGTTAGATACTGGATGTTCAGTTGGATTTGAATTTCAGATTAAACACTAAGTTTCCTATAGAAAAAGTTCTTAAATGCTGAACGGGGCGCGCTCATATCAGAACATTATTAATTGTTTATCTGAAATTACAGCTTAACTGGGTATCCTGTCATTTTATTTGCTAAATCTCAAAACTCTCCGGTGGGGGTGGGGCTGCATATCAGCAGTGGGGGGTGTAGATGGAAAGAGGATCGCCAGCGAATGGGTGGCGCTGGCAGAAGCAGGAGCCGCCGCTGAGCATTGGTGTTGCCGGAGCAGAAAGGGCCTGGGCGAGGGGCAGGGCTACTGAAGCAGGGCCAGCCCAGGGAGGATGGGTGAAGCCAGGCCTTGGGGTCACAAGGCATCGTCCTCCCAAGTGAGCACTGCACCAGCCTCACAGTCCCACAAGCTTGTCTCTCCTCTCTGTGGTCAATGCTCCGCATTCAGCCTGAGTAACAGGAACCTGAGTCAGACCATCTCACTTCCTGCTCAGGCCACACCTAGAAAAAGATATCTGAACTTCTTATCTCGACCTAGAAGGCCCTAGAAGGTGTGACCTGGCCTATTTGAATCAAATCTACTCCAAAGCATCGTTGTAAAGATTCAGGCCGTGTTCTCAACCTTGGCTGCCCACTGAAATCACTTGGAGAGCTTTTAAAAATTTTCTTGGAATATAGTTTTGCTTGATTTACAATGCTGTGTTAGTGTGGGGAGCTTTTAAAAAGGCAGATGCTTGCCCCCAGCCCTGGGGAGTGTGGTTTCCTTGGTCTGGGGGAGTCTGGGCATCAGGAGTCTCAAAAGATTCGCAGGGATTGGGATGCGCGGTGACGGGGTCACTGCTGTAGAGCGTGCTCTCCGGCCCCACCGCAGCGGCTGGTGAGGCCACGCTGCCCTCTGCCCCGGGTCCAGCTTCACCTCTGTCCATGTTCAGTCTCCCCCTCTCTCCCTGGCCTGTGGCTTCCTACCCACCATCCCTCCCAAAATATTCCGCCTTCTTTCTTTCAACTTGGCCAACATCTCATCGCTCCCATCCCTCTGTCCTCTTCTCCCAGAGCACATTGAACTTTTTCTTGACGACACTCGGCATACTCTGCACTTACGTTTTCAGTTGTGTGGGTACTCGCTTAGTCTCTAGTTCCCGGCAGACTGTAGGCTGCATGGCAGAGGCCCTGTCTCTCTTAGTCTTCACCATCCCCACCCCCACCCCAGCCCACCCCGGAGCTGGACACATGATGCTGGATTTCAGTAGATGCCGAACAAATGAATGGATGAAAGAATGACTGATCAGGAGAGGGATACAGTCAGGTTTGCATTTCCAGAGAGATCTTTCTGGCTGCTCTGTGCTGAATGCTGCTGGGGGAGGGTCGGAAGAGACTGAAGCCAGCATCCCAGTGATTCCGCAGCTGGAATCACTGGCGAGAACTCATAGGGCCGTGACCAGGACAGAGGTGATGGGGTGGGAGATGGGACAAACCAGAGGTCCTGTGCGGAAGGGTGAGGATTTGGGGGGAAGGGTGCCATGTGACTGAGGTTCTACCCCAGGGGACAGGCAGGATGAGAAGATGAGAAAGAGGAGTTCTGTTTTGGCCAAGTTGGGTTGGACATGTCAGGAGGACACCTAGGAATCTGAGGCCAGGGGCTAGAGACACCTAGGCTGGGGATAGAGATTGGACAGTAACATCAGTAGCAGCAAGAATAAAAACCAAAGTGTTTTTTGCCATTTCTGTGAGCAAAACTTCTTGGTGCATGGAATGTCTGTGCCTGGGAAGCTGTCTGTCTGAGAGGCGCGTCACGGGCCCTTGTGTCCCCGCAGCTATCCTCGGCATGCACACGCTTATGAGCAACCAGCAGTACTACCAGGCCTTGGGCAGCAGCTCCATCGTGAACAAGGAGGGACTCAACAGTGAGTACCGGCCCCGCTCCCTGCCCCACCGCGAGGGTGTCTCGGAAGTGAGTGATCCTCCCGAGTCTTGCTACCTCCACCCATTCTCTGCAATCTCATTGCAGAAGATTTCAAATTCTACTAGCTAAGACTGCCCACCTCTTCTTTTTACCCTCCTGGGATCCTTGTGGCTTGATTACAAAGGCCTTCCCCATCCCAATATTATCAGAACATCCTCCTTTATTTTCTTCTGTAAGTTTTAGAGATTTACTTCTTATATTCTACTTCTTAATCCTCCTGGAGTTCATGTTTTGTGTGCGGTGTGAAATGAGAGCAAGCTTTCATTTTCTTATGTCAGTACTCCATTGTCCCAGCACCACTCTTTGCAAAGTCCGTCCTTTCACCCCTGGTTTGGGGCTCCACCCGGATCATAAATGTCCATGTATCCACCCAGGTCTGTCTCTGGGTGCCTCTCCTGCTCCACAAGTCTCCTTGTCCTTTCCTGTGCCAACACTGCATTGTCTGAATTGCTCCACTGCATTGTTCCAAGCTGGCAATTTGGCCCCAAAGAGAAATGAAGGCGCCCAAAGCACAATTACCCTTTCCTCTGGAAGGCCTACACATTTCTTTCCCATCCAGTCTTCATTTTATCCTCATGGGAACCCACTGGGTAGAATGACTGTTCCCACTCTACCGTGAGGACTCCCAGCTTCAGACAGTTTAGTGAATTCACCTAGTTCTTGCAGGTCGGCAGAGGCATTGTCCAAGCGGGGCCTGGACTCCTGGCCCCACCCACCACCATCCTCCTCTGGCCCCTCCCCTCGTAACCCCCAAGAGGCCCAGGCTTCCACATCCCTGAGGTCCACCGCCGCTTTCTTCTGATGTCCTGGTGTTGCAGGAAAGTGACGCCCATCTCTGTGAGCCATCTCCCTGTTGTCGGTCACTCTAGGTGTGATCAAACCTACACAGTACAAGCCTGTGCCTGACGAAGAACCAAATGCCACGGACGTGGAGGAAACCCTGGAGAGGATAAAGAACAACGACCCGAAGCTTGAAGAGGTCAACCTCAACAACATCCGGGTGAGGCTGCCTTCACTCTGCTTCCCCTGCTCTGGGAGTGTGGGGGAGGCCAAGTCCACTCAGACCCAGACAGCCCAGGCCGGACCGCACACAGACAGCAGCGTCCTGCTTGGACTCTGGGTGCTTCTGGATCAGGAATAGAGACAAAACTTTTGGGAAAGAGGACAGTATAAACCAGCACAGCCCATCTTCTTTGTTTCCTTCGGGGCCTGACATCAGCCCCAGATGTTCACCATAGTCAACCCAGCTTCGACTCTGGAAACCCACCACCTTATCCACAACACTGAGAGCTTCTCAGAGATAAATCATAAGTCAGACACAGGTGGCTGCATGGGATCTCAAGGCTGGAAAAGCCAGGTGCCCACCAGGTTCATGGGGTAACCCAAGCCTGTGGAGGGGCCTGACCCTGAACCTGCATCTCATGCATGTATTCAGCCTCATTCTGCAACCCTAAATGGGAACCATTTGCCCAGTGTCCAAAGACATGCTCTAGGCTGTTGGCCCACATCTCTCTGGGCCCTTCCTGTGTGACCAGCAGGCAGAGCGGGGACGGGTGGTCAGGCTGTGGGAGGAATGCAGAAGCAGGCCCAGCTGCCCGCTCACCTGCTCAGCCTGGGAGCCAGAGAGATTAGCTCTCAGGGGGTGTGGATGTAAGATAAGAAGTGGGCCCCTCTCTTCCCAGCTCCCTTTTCCTTTCTTCTCCGCTTTCTTCGGAGTGGCTGCCAGCCTCATGGCATGATCAGATTGGAAACCTGCGCCTGCAGTGTCTCCTCCACCTGTGCTCCACTCCCACGGGGGCTAAAGTGACGCTCTGAAACGCGAGATCCCTTCGGGTGCCTCCGCTGTCTGCCATGTGCCGTGGGAAACACTGGCACAATTGAGAACTGTGCACCCTGCAACATCTATGGGCTCAGAGAAGTGTGGGATGGGGGGACCTGGCCAGGTACTGTGCCTTCCCCGTGGGGCCTCAGGCAAGGGCTCACCCTTTTCAGGCTTGTTTCCCCTCTGCATGTGAGGCAGTTGGACTAGGTCAGTGGTTTTCACTTGAGATTAAAATAATAATAAATGCCAATGCCCAGTCCCTCTTCCCACAGAGATTCTGATTTTACTGGTCCAGGGCAGGCCTGAACATCAGCATTTTATGAAAGTTCCCTAGCACCTCCAATGTGTGGTAGGGCTGAGACCCTCTGGGGCAGATGTCTCTTAAAGATTATCTAGGGCAACTCTCCACCTTGGTTTATGGGAACAAACTCAGACAGGCAGAGACTTCCCCAGAGTCACACAGCAAAGTCAGAAACATCGCCCGTTGCCCACACCCCCAGGCTGAGCTCTCGGCACAATACTCTCCTGCAGCTTTGCCTTGATGTTTTCTGCTCCTCCGATCTCTGCGTGTACAAAGAGAAAACTACAGGTGCTATCTGAAATGTTCAAGGAGGACTTTCTCGATCTGTTTACCAGAAAGTTCTCCCCAAATCTCAGCCATCTGGGGCAAAGCAAGAACCCTTTGCCCTTTCAGCTCTTTGGTCAGAGACGTGCTGGGCATCAGGTGGCATCAGGTTGTGAGAGAATTACTGCCCCATCTCTTTGCCCTGCCTGCCCCTGGCAGGGCTGCTGGTCACTGCTTGCCTTTCTCTCTGCAGAATATCCCCATACCCACTCTCAAGGCGTATGCAGAAGCCCTCAAAGAGAACGCGTACGTGAAGAAGTTCAGCATTGTGGGAACACGGAGCAATGACCCTGTGGCATTTGTACGTACCTTTCGGTTCTGTTGCATTGAGAGTGGGAGGCATAGAAACAGGAAAGTTGACATTTGTGGCCCCAGGACTGGCCATGTGCCACTGATGAAGAGCTCTGTGTGGTGAGGTGTGATGTGGTGAAAGGCACAGGGCGAGGACCCAGGAGGGAATGTGGACAGAACAGCCGTTAGCCAGGCACCGTCTGTACATTATCCTAGTTAATCTCCACCATCATCCCTGATCCCAGAGGTGCAGAGCTCCCCACGTTACAGATGAAGAACCGGGGGTAGAGGGAGCTCAGACAACTTGCTGTGTCCAAAGTTTCACAGCAAGTGAGAAGTGGAGTTGAGGTTGGGATGCAAGTCACACGGACCTTAAAGTTGGATCTCTCTCTCCACTCTGCGTAGACAAGGGCCTGCCCCTGCTTGGTCCTCAGTTTCTCTATATCTAAAACTATTGTCTTCACTGGTGGTTCCCAATGATCAATTTTATTTGATTTTTCTTGTATCTGAAAAATATTTCTGATTAGATTCAGTTCAGTTCAGTCACTCAGTCATGTCTGACTCTTTGCGACCCCTTGGACTGCAGCATGTTAGGCTTCCCTGTCCATCACCAACTCCCGGAGCCTGCTCAAACTCATGTCCATCGAGTCGGTGATGCCATCCAACCATCTTATCCTCTGTCGTCCCCTTCTCTTCCTGCCTNAAGCAGAGTGACAATATATAGCCTTGATGAACTCCTTTCCCAATTTAGAACTGTCAGTTGTTCCATGTCTGGTTCTAACTGTTGCTTCTTGACCTGCATACAGATTTCTCAGGAGGCAGGTAAGGTGGTCTGGTATTCCCACCTCTTGAAGAATTTTCCACAGTTTGTTATCCACACAGTCAAAGGCTTTAGCATAATCAGTAAAGCAGAGTAGATATTTTTCTGGAATTCTCTTGCTCTTTCTAAGATCCAATGGATGTTGGAAATTTGATCTCTGATTAGATTAAATTGTGCTTTTTTTATAAAGTTGCCATCAACTCCTTTTTTAAAAATATTCAATGCATATTTATGGAGTGTTTATGTCCAGCACTGAATTAGGCTCTGAGAATACAACTGTGACCAAGATAGTCATAGCTCCCACTTTCATGAACGTAATGGTCCATGTAGACAGATAAAGGATAACAGTACAGTATGATTACTACAATACTAATAGCAGGTTAAAAGGTACATGAATTAGCCTACCAGCCATGGTAATTAACCATTTAGTAGCAAACAGTTTTGTTGATATCCACAAAATAACTTGCTGGGATTTCAATTGGGATTTCATTTAATCTATATCAAAACGGGAAGAACTGATATCTTACAATATTGAGTCTTCTTGTACATGAATATGGAATATATCTCCATTTATTTAGTTCTTCTTTGATTTCATACAACAGAGCTTTGTGGTTTAGCTCATATAGATCTTGTACATATTTTGTTAGCTTTATATGTATTTCATTGTTTGGAGTGCTAACATAAATGGCATTTATGTTAAATTTTAAATTCTGCTTGTTCATTGCTATCTATGAGAAAGCAGCTGACTTTTCTTTATTAACCATATCCTACAACCTTGCTATAATTGCTTATTAGTTCCAGGAGTTTTCTTTGTCAGTTCTTTTGTATTTTCTGTGTAACCAATAATGTCATTTGCAAACAAGTGCAGTTCAGTTGCTCAATTGTGTCCGACTCTTTGCAATCCCATGGACTACAGCATGCCAGGCTTCCCTGTCCATCACAACTCCTGGAGCTTGCTCAAACTCATGTCCATCGAACTGGTGATGCCATCCAACCATCTCATCTTTGCAAACAGAGACAGTTTTATTTCATCTTCCCAATCCAATCTATATATATGTAATCTTTTTATTTCCTTTTCTTGCCTTAGTGCATTGGACAGAACTTCTGTTACAATGTTGAAAAAGAGGGCTGAGAGGTGGCATCTTTGCCTTGTACCTAATCTTAGAAATAGTTTCAAATTTCTTACCATTAAGTATGAAGTTAATGGTAGGGATTTTTTGGTAGATAATCTTTATCAATTTGAGGAAATTGCTCTCTGTTCCTAGTTTACTGAGACTTTTTATCATGCATGGATGTTGGATTTTGTCAAATGCTTGTTTTGCATCTATTGACATGACTGATTTTTTTCTTTTAGCTTGTTGAAGTGATGGAATATCGCACTTAGTCATAATTCAAAATGCTTTTTAATTTATCTTGAGATTTCTTCTTTATTAGAAGTGTTATTTAGAAGTGTGTTGCTTAATCTCCATGTATTAGGGGAGTTTTCTACTTATCTTTTTGTTATTGAATTTCTAGTTTGATTCATTATGGTCTGAGAACAGACATTGTATGATTTCTGTTCTTTTAAATTTGTTATAGTGTGTTTTATGGCCCAGAATGTGGTCTGTTTTGGTGACTGTTCCAATGTGCATGAGCAGAATGTACATTCTGCTGTTGTTGGGTGAAATATCTATAGATGTCTATTATCTCTAGTTGACTGATGGTATTGTGTTCAGTTACGTCTTTCCTGGTCTTTGACCTGCTAGAGCTGTCCAGTCCATAGAGGTGTGTGGAAGTCTCCAGCTATGACAGTGGATTCATCCCTCTCTCTTTGCAATTCTATTAGTTTTCACCTCATATAGTTTGATGCTCTGTTGTTAGGCACATTCTCATTAAGGATTGTATGTCTTCCTGGATAATTGACCCCATACTATCCTTCTTTATCTGATAAATTTCCTTACTTTGAAGTCCATTCATAGCAATCAATTATTTTCTCATTTTTAAAATACATAGGGCATTTCCTTGGTTGTTTTTGAAATGATAGGAATAGCTCATAGTCTCTCACTGCTGCCAGTGAAGAACCTCTGGTTAGATGTTCTCTGACCTCAGGATATCTCCCGTGGGTCCTGAATTTGCCCACAGAGACACAGCTGGTAAAGTCACATGCTCTATCCACTACTGTCACTGGATCAGAAACCAAGCCCATCTGTGCTGGCAGTCAGCTCCGCTCCACAGATATTTACGGGGAATTGACCCCGTGCCAGATCAACAGCTGATGTCATCCCCTTCACACCAGGAGACCCATTGTTGAAGATGAAAATACGGGGACGACTGGGAACAAGCTCCCAGAGCTCCCTTAGTGTCCAAACTGCCTGCCCCAGCTCTTCTCCTGCCCCCTTCTTTACTCTGGTCCCGCAGACAGAGACACCTGGTCTGACCCTGTCTATAGGACCAGCCCAGTCACTAGTATGTCTCCTTGGATCAGCCTGGTACACTTACATACTAGCTGTCAAGTATTTTGATTATCAGGCCACACCTTTCCTGGGGAGCAAGAGGGATGCTGTGGGTGGGCACAGACTGGGTCCATCCCCACAGGAGGGTCCAACCTTCGCAGGGCTGGAGAGGAAGCTGACATGTCATCCCGGAGCACGTGAAAGCAGGGGAGCTGAGGATGTGGGCTCTGAAGGCATCTAGGAGCTGAGCCTTGCGAAGGCTTCAGCAGGCAGGGCCAATGGGAAGGGCATTCCTGGACCAGATCGTCATTTCAGACAACCAGGACCCACTGATCTTACATCCTGGCTCATCAGCTGCCGGTGTCTCCTTTCCTCCATGACACATCGTTTCCACCACCTGCTAATTACTTCATTTCCTCCAGAGGCTCTGATTGTCATCCACACCCCCTGGCTGACGCCCTCCAACGTGCTGGGGCCACCCAAGCTCCTGTCTTCCGTTTGCGCTGGTCGCCTGCCCAGCGGGGTGGCTTCCCAGGCTCCCCTCTCTGCTGTTCACAGAGAATGACAGCTCCATGGAATTCCAACAGGGATGCAGAAAAGACAAGTTGAAAGCATATAGGGAACTTGGGACTCTGCTAGTCTAGTGACCAATGGTTGAGGACCTACTATGTGCTGAGCACTGTGTGGGTGGGAGGCTCCCTTGGGTGAATGAGGTGCACCAACGGCCCACCAACAGCATATAGGCTAATGGAGGAGACAGAACCGCTATGAAACACAGGGACACAAGTTCCATGAGAGAGGTTATGGATAAAGTCTGTGAGGTCCAAGAGGGCAGGGACAGCAAGCTAGGAGGAAAGACTTTTAGAAAAAGGGGCGTTGAGAATGGCCTGGGAGGATGGGCAGGGTTTGGACGAGTGAAGCAGAAAGGAAGGGCGTTCCAGGCGGTGGGGAAGGATGAGGAAAGGCAGAGGGGAAGGGAGAGCGCTGGGTGTCGGGGCGGGCGGGACTGAGAGTAGCACCACCAAGAGGGGCAGCTGGAGTTGAGGCTGATCAGGGCGGGGGGAAGCAGGTAATAGAAGGTTTGGATGCAGGTTACGGAGCTGAAACTCTCCAGCTGGGGTTTGGGGCCACAGCAAGCCAGAGGGGAGCAGAGGCACAGAACAGTGCTTGGTGAAGGACGCTGAGACCTTCTTGCTGGTCCCTGACTGTGTGTGAGGGACTCTCACTCCCAGCAAGGCTCCCCCAGTATTTTAGGTTCTACCCACAGGGGTTCCAGCCTTAATCAGATCATTCATGGGTACCCTACCTTTTCTCCTATGACTCAAGGCCCTTGCCGAGATGCTCAAGGTGAACAAGGCATTGAAGACGCTGAACGTGGAATCCAACTTCATTTCTGGAGCCGGGATCCTGCGCTTGGTGGAAGCACTTCCATTCAACACTTCTCTGGTGGAACTGAAGATCGATAACCAGGTGAGATGGGCAAGGGCCTCCCCGTGTCCTTCACTTGATGCTTGCAGTTCTGCACTTTCTCATTTGCTGCTGCTTGTGAAAGCTCCAGAGCCCAGCTTTAAAGAGACCTCCAAGGTCATCCAGTCCATCCCCTCTACCATGCTCACAGTTCCTTCTTCATCATCCCCACCAACTGCTCCGCCAGCTTCTGCCTGGGTACCCCTAATGATGGGAGCCTCACTCTTTATTGAGATCACCCCTTTCATTCTTAGAATATCCTTCCTTATATCCAGTAGAAGTCAGCTCCCTGTAAGTCCTGTTTGTTGAGTTTAATTCTGTTCTCGGCAGCATACAGGGTATATCCGATGCACAGATCTTATAAACCACTGGAGCCTTCCTCACTGGGCAGAACAACACCATTTTTATCCATCACCCCCACACACACACCCCACCACTCAGTGGGCGTTTGAGTCTCCTTACCATCAAGGTTATTCACTGGGCAAATTCTCGTTTGCCTCTTTCCTTACAGGGTTATCATTTCTCTATAACTTCCGTAGTTCAGTCATTTATTTTCAGGGCAACCATTCAGCTCTAACTCTCTAAGATGATCCTAATAACAGTATCATGTCTGTTGCATGCGTTGCGGGTTCCCTGTGGGCCAGGCTATGTGCCATGCACCCAATACACATCATCTCTGATCCTCCCAGCTGCCCTGCAGGATGTGAGTGTTACAGTCTCAGTTTTCAGAAAAGAAAGCGGCTCAGAGAAGCTGAAGGCTAGCAGCTTTCTCAGGGCTGCCAAGTGAGCACTTTCAGAAGCAGGATTTGAATGCAGGTCTCTGACCCTGAAGCCCACTCTTTTCCAGTACACTGTGTTGCTTCTCGTGCTAAAATGCTTGCTTCTTTATGGTCTGATAGAGAGCCTGCTTTTTTCCCCTACATGAAAATGTTTGCTGAAGGGTCATATAAATGTGTGTATAGGAAAACGACTGGATGAAACATAACAAAATTGTGTACAGTGGTTGTCCCTGAGTGAGATTATCTCTACGTTTTATCCTCATTAGAAAAACATTACAGATAAATAGAGAAGTGCATAGGAGTTAGATGCACAGCTTAGTGACTCATATAGGCAGGTGACCTCTGTCAAGAGGTTAAGCATCACCAGCTTCCAGAAGACTTTGGCAGTCCCTTCCCTGGTGGCTCAGATGGTAAAGAATCTGCCTGCAACGTGGGATGCCCAGGTTCGATCCCTGGGTTGGGAAGATCCCTGGGCGAAGAGAATGGCTACCCATTCCAGTATTCTAGCCTGGAGAATTCCATGGACAGAGGAGCCTGGCAAACTACAGTTCATAGTGTCAAAAAGAATCAGACATGACACGCTAACACGCCTCCCAATCTTAAACCTTCACAACTCTTCACGGTTTGCTCCCTACTTACTTTCATGGCTCCATGACTTAGAGCTACACTTTTCTCTCCCGAAGAATGTCTTCCCCTGCTCTGACCTCTTCTCTGCCTAGAGAAATCCTCCTCTTCCTTCTGGATTTGGTTGTAGCCTCTCTTTCTCCCAGTGGTTCTAGGGCCAGCCTGAACCACCCTGCTGGAGCTAACTGTATAGATCCCTTCCCGACTCCACTTGAGTGACGGCATACTGGTACCGTGAAGTTACTCCTAGTGAGAGTATTTACACTGTGGAAATTGGCAAAAACTACAAATCCAACCTTTTTTTCCCCCGCCAAGAGCCAGCATATAACTGCTTTCTCCCTTCAGTCTGCCACAGGGCCTCTGAGCCTCCCCGCAGAGAAAGTTTAAGCACTCCTTCCCTGGTTCTCCTAGCACCTTGGCTTCCTTGTGAGTATCTCAGAAGCGGGGCTGTGTCCAAGTCATCTCCCTATCCCAATACCCAGCTCAGAACTTGGTCCTGCAGTGGCACCTGATAAGCAGGGCTGCCCTGGATGGTTGTATGTGTTGTTTACTGTACAATGAGGAGACAGGGGACAAAACCCAACTCATAATCTACTCCTTAAAACTTCGTACAGGGCTTTATTCATCCGGAGAAGGCACTTTTCTCTAATTCATAAAGAGAGGCGACATGAGGCTGCTGCAGCCATGTCATGTGAATTTGCTGCATTAGATTCTTTCCGTCTCTCACATGCCAGTAGCCTGCTGCTGTAGCACCCATTCCCAGCCCCTACTGCTTCCGTCCTTTCTTCCATTGCTGACCCTGCTCTGTAGCAGGCAGAGGGGGCAGATCAGATGGAACAAAGGCATGTAACAGGCTTGGCAGTAGCCTTAGGCCAAGCCCTGGGATTGGCTACTCATGTGATGCCAGGCCCACTCAGGCAGGGAGTCAGGATCTACCCAGCATCAGCTGAAACCTGATTCCTGGGGCAGAATGTCGGCCAAAGATGACCAGAGCACTGGCTTCAGGTCATTGTGGTAGCAGCTTACAGAGAGCAAGCTGCCCGCTTCCCCCCGGAGACAAAGCCTGTGCCAACCATCACCCTCACACCGGCTAAACATCTGTGCAAGGACATTCACTTCCCTGAGCCTCAGTTTCCTCATTTGTAAAATGGGGATAATACAAATCTCTCCTTCTAAGGAGCTAGGAGATGAATACTATGAAGTTGTTCACTTTTATGTTTACTCTGAAGGTGACCTAGGGAATTCACACATTTTTCTAAGAGTTAATGTACTGAGCAGGTACCATGTATCCATTATCTCATTTAATGCTGGCAAAGACTCTCTGAGTGGATGTCACAGCCTACTCTAGTATTGTGGACGGGGAAATTGAGGCCCAGGCAGGCTATGTAACCTGCCTGAGGTCATACAGGAAGTAAGAGAGGCAAGGTTAGAATCCAGGTCTATGTGACTCTAAAGTCCATGAGCTGTGCCTGTCTGGGTTCTTGAATCTCCTGCAGTTTTGTGCAGGTCTTGGTTCTTCTCAGCTGTCCCTTCCCCTTGTCTGGTCACCGCCTGCTCCCACCCCATCCTAGGAGCGTCTCTCGTTGTTTTATCTCAGGGTTTAGTAAGTGCCTGCGGGACCCAGGGCTGTGCTGGGCTCTGTGTGTGAATACTGGCTCTGTCCTCTCGAGATTCCACACTGGATGAGATGACAGACAAGTGTACAGTTGATCATCCAGCCAGGTGCTCTAGCAAGCCACACACAGTGGGGTACTGTGGGGAAAATTTTCAGCCAGGAGCAGGCATCAGGGAGGGCTTCTTGGAGGAGGTGGAATTTGAGAATAAACCCTAGGGTGGACAGTATGTCGGAGGGTAAAGGGGAGGCCGTGGCATCCCTGGTGTAGGGGACCACATGAGCAAAGAGAAGGAGAGAGGACAGCTGTGGGGTCAATTCAGAACGACTAACGGGACCACCTGAAGGAGGCCAGAAAGGGAGCTGGGGGGACCCCAGGGGGCTGGGAGCGGGACGTTGGAGGGGAAGTGGCCTGCGGGCTGTCCTCAGCACCCGCCACAGTCGTGCTCTGCAAAGACGGTTCCCGGCTGGACGGCAGAGGGTTGGGGGCGGGAAGAGGGCTTCAGGGCTTGGAGACCAGAGGGGGCTCTGACCACCCACGTGAGGGGGCCTGTGGGGAGGTGCTCCTGGGAGCCTGAGTCTGGAGACTGGGCTGAGGCCTGGTGGGGGAGTGGGGGGCTGAAACAGGCCTCGAGGAGGGGGTTCTGCTGGCCCGGGCTCGGGGAAGGCCACCCATGCCTCTCTCAGTGCCCCGGGAGGCATGGGCTCTGGGGGAGGGTGGCCAGGAGGAGGTGATGAGTGGTGTTGGATTTATTCCCCGTTCTTGTTAGTCACCGAGGTCCCCAGAGGCCACAGCTTTCTCCTCGGCCCTGCGCCTGTAACCTGTGTCAGAGTCCTCCCTTCTCCTTATACGGCCAAGGAGAGGGACTCGGGGAGTTCTGCCCAGGGTGTCACAGAGCCTCGCAGGACAGCGACAGGATAGGGCTCTGAGGCTGCTTGCTGACTCAGCCAGACCCTCCTTTCCTTCCTCGCTCTTGCTGCCTGGAATCACCCTGGGACAGCGATGAGGCTGGGCACGCGGGGAGGGCAGGGGGCTGACTGCAGCTGAGGGTGTTGAGACATGTCTAGCCCAGCCCCCCTTTTGCAGATGGGGAAACCAAGGATTTGAGAAGGGATGGGACATGCCCAATGTCACGAATCAAGTTAGGCTCAGAACTGGGCTGGAACTGAAGCACCCAGCTTCCAAACAGGCTGCATTTATGAGCAGACAGGAAAGACCCTCCCAGCGCCCAGGAGGCAGGTAGGACACATGGGGTGCCTGCAGGCCCATCCGTCCCAAGCCAACCATGTCCCAAGCAGTGGCTCTTCGCCCCTCTTGATCCACTTTCCTCTCCGACAGAGCTCCCTCCAACAGGCCCTTCCCAGGACCCTTGGGGCATGGGACACTCCCTGCCCCTTAGCAGAGACGAGGCCTGAAAATAGGCTCCCTCCCCACATGAAGACATGTGCAAAATCTAGGGGGATTTCGCTGGGTGTCTCACGTTTCATTCCAATATTTGACAGCGAGAATGTGCTTAATATTTTGAAAAGAAGCTAAAGGGAGTGTATCATGTTTTCTTGTTTTTCCAGATTGGATTGTTTTCCTAGTGGAAGTAAATTTAGAAAACAAAAGCCATGCTAGAATAGGATCCGGAAGGTTTTCACAAATGGTGACACCCATTAATTTTAGATTCCACACTCAGGGCAGCTTTTTAAATGAGGCTGAATATAGCTTTTGGTTTTGCAAGATTTAAGGAAAACACTCTTGAAAACCAAGAGAGCAAGACCAACTGTGTTGAATTTTGTTCCTTATAGTTTTCGCTTCTAAGCAGCAGGTCTCCGTCTGTGCATGGTTTTTGAGTCTGCAGTCTCGTTTTGTATTGAAGTAATTCAGTCTGGAAGTATTCAGCCTCCTTGAGAGGACAGGCATGTGTCACTGTCCCGTCCTGTAAATGTCAATTATGTTCTTTTACTGATCTCACTCTAAGGGAAAGATGAGATGAAGTCAG